TTTTGTTTTGCGGGAAATGGGTAATATAAGTGCCTGCACCGGACGTGGCTTTCCTTTGTGGCCACTGTTTTGCATTTAAATTCACGGGATTAACGTAACCCCTTCCGCGTTATTACCACGTAAATGGGAAAATCCTGTTTTTTTCTTCTTCTTACGATTTGTCACCGCGAATAGGATAAATCATATTTTTTTTCCGCGCAACAATGATTGCCCACCGGAATGTCATCATGTTGATGATACTCTTATGAAGCGTACCAGCGTATGGATTATTAATGGAGTTGATGAATGACACCCCCACCCCTGTTGTGCGCAATGTACCGCCATCTTCATTAATCTTTGGAAAAAAAATAACATTATTATTATCATCATCCTTATCATGAATATCCGATTCGTTTGCCTCGGAAATTTATAGCCAAGAGCTTTTTTTCCAATAAAATACCTACACCGCTCCCTTACTCCCCGGCTCGACTGATATCGGATCTTTATCCGCAACATCATTTCTTCCACGTAACCTTCGAGCAAACATGTGAAGAAAAAAATATTTTTTTTTTCTTTTAAATTCAAATCACATTCGTTTGTACCACGTCGGATAAAGTACAGTCGATTTCCCATTGTTTTTATTTTCACTCGAAAATTTATCTCACGCGAGTCAAAGGGCACTGTTGTACATATAAATAAAGAGTCTGTATTACAGTAAGTAAAAAGCACCCACCCCCATGGCAAAGAGGGTGCAGCACGTGGGATGCCATCGTAGTCAAGGCTTATCGCCGTAGCGGAAGGAAAAGAGGTCGTTTGGCGCCTGCCCCTTTTTTTTCGCGATCATCTCGAGCTCGCAATCAGTCCCTTTGAAGCGCGATAACCCGATGTTACCCGCGGAGCAGCAGCGAGTATCGGATGGTACACCGGCTCGTGTGCACGCGCCTGCAGCCCCGTTAAGCTGTTATCACTGCAAAAGGGGCGAGAACCTGGTACGGGGAAGGGGAAAATGATGGAAGGAAGGTGGTGAGCTTGGGAACTTGCGCTCAGACGCAATTACAGCCCGATACTCGAGGGTTAAAAGAGCCTCCTCCTGCCGCCCCCCCCCCCCGGAAAAACGTGAAATTCAGGTGCGTTTCCTGTGCGTACCCCCTCCTTCGCGAGTAAAGGTACAAGTGGGTGTCCTTGCACAATTCATTCTCAACATCCAGAAGCAAGAGGGAGCGACACGGTTCGGAGGAATTACGCGCTCGACGAGCTTCCCGGTGGTTTGGCTGCCTCGCGTGGTGCCACTTGACGCGTACACACCTACGGCTTCTATTGTTCCGCCCTTGTTGGAGGAACGGGGGGGGGGGGGGCATTGTGCCCCGTTTGCTCGCATTTTCCGGTGCCACCGAGTCCGGGGAGACGATTCCTCGCGAGCTCGTTGTTTACGGCGTTTTGATTCAACCGAGCAACCGTGGAACGCTCTACGCATTCAATTTCAATTACGGCTCCTCGGAGACACCCAATTGCGTCAATTAAAGTGTGGGGGGGAGGGGAAGAGCTAAAAAAGCGCCGAGCTGTTTCAATGACAGTTTGCTCGATGCGATTGTCACTCGCTCGAGCACCTCGCGGCCCATTGAGCCCCGATCGAATAAACGGAAATAACGGTCCGGGGGGCGTAAATATTCGAGCTTGCGACGGCACCGGCAAGTAGTGCAGCTTGTAACCGTAGCACTCGAGAGCGGATCAGCTTTAAATGCAAGCTCGGGGATCATGGGGGATTACATCGGCTGACTCAAAGTCACCCCTCCCGTCTTATTTTCCTCGACAGGTGCAGGAGACGTCATAAGTGCCATTTCTTGGCTTCTCGAGAGTTGAGAGGAGAGAGCTGTGAAGGGCGAAATCATCCGTGACGAAGGAAAAAAAAAAAAGCTCAAAATCGTATAGCTCACAGGACTATATTATACGGTAAGTTATTCGAGGAGCGAAGAGGAGAAGTAGAGAGCTGGCAATCTGGCAGATCGACGCCCGAAGAGCTCAACGGAGACACCAACAACCGCGTGTATACTCTTCGGGGGCAGTTGGCCGACGAGGGGGATCGGAGACGGCAGAGCAGTGGTCCACGGTGCCACGAGCAGAGCCCCATTGTCATGCCGGAGCACAATGCCAAAATGGACCAGTGGACTGCTCGGAGGGGGAGGATGGGAGCAGGCAGCGTGTCCACGAGAACAAATTTATTAATTGACCGAGGACACAATGAGCCCGGCCGTCCAGGTGGCACAAGTTAGGGGAGGCAGTGCCGGCCAAGTCAGACCTTATTGGCTCCCATTACGCCGGTGGGGGGGGGGTGACTTGCAGGGATACCACGATGATGTGCGGTGCGCCAGGATCCCCGTCCACCTGCCTGGCTCGATTAATGCCTCCTCGTACGCGCGGCTGAACACACACACGTGGCCCCTCTCGAGTTCCAGTGTTGGAGTTCGAGTAAGGCATTGCCAAGTGAATCCGTGTTTTTTCGGACCTTCGCCGTTCGCGTTAATTTTCTTTCTTTCCGTGATCCGTCTCTGGCGGCTCGCTTACGCGCGTTTCTTCGCTTGTATATACGCGAGCGCGCATTTTCTCTCCGCGAAAATTTTCTTTTCACACGAACGGAACAAAAGCACAATAGCGACGAATAAAACAAAAATATGCAATTCTTTCCCTCGCGAGATATCTTTTTGCCGTTTCGGACGAGAGCTCTTCTCTCAGCTTCCTTTGTTTTTGTCTCGCTATGCCGTTCTTTTGTCTGGAGTAAAACTTGGTTTTTTTTTTTTTTATAAATGATAATGAAACAAAATAGAATACCTTGACGAACGAAAGAGAAAAAAATTCCGATACGGGGCCATTATTTCCATATTTTGTTGGGTTAATTTATCTTTCATTGGCGTTGAAAGGGCACTTGGTTCCGCGGGGAAAACGTGGACAAGAGCTCGGAAGAATTTCCAAATTATCGAATGCAGACCCACGAGAACTTTGAAAAAACTTTGGCAAAAGAGCTCCATCATTTTCCGTATGGGTATAGGTGCTGCGGAGTATTTACCACCAGCAGCAACATTTTTCAAACGAGCCAAAGCGAGCTTCGTATATACATACAGTACAAATCGTCACAACAGGAGAGCAGTGCAGGAGAGGGGCTCGATGCGAGCGTCCTCGTCAAAGGATTCATCGGAAATTGCTTCTCTAATTGAGCTTAGAGGGCTCGATTGACCGTAACGATCGATAACACATTAGCGATTCTTCACCAGCAGACTGTCATTACGTTTAATACCTGGCGCGGTGTATTATTATGTTGCATTATGTGTGTACAGGTACGGGTCAGCACGTCCAAGAGAGCGCCTATTCAATCGGCTTTGCGAGCACTGAAATTTCGGTGCCTATACGTGCACGCTGCGCTGCCTTGTTTAATTATTACTCCGTTGGGCTCGTAATATATCCACCCTGAAATAATTATACGTAGGGTACGGAATGACGTTTCGACCGGGCGATCTCGTTAAAATGCCGACGTGTAATCGATAAATGCGAGAATTAACATTCGTTTCCTTTCAATCGTTAGCTTTCGTCCGTTGGATGCGTGTACAATGGTATATGCCGTTCGTTAGTGGCGCGGATGATTAAAAACTTTACAAACGAGTCAAAGAGGGCAGGGGGAATATTAATATATGGGACGAGGCAATTTCATCGTTTTTGATGATCATTCGATTTGCGTTTCATTGACAAGACACGTAATTATTTGCACGGTGCACAGGAATTTCATTGGGATATGGAAACTAAATGAACCTGAGTTTGCATGTACAGTACAAATTATTTTTTTATTTTAGATTATACAAAGTATACAAATGAGCGTATAGCTTGCCACGCACACGATACCGTTGTGCGCAGTACAAGCATCAACGGTAGAGAATTACAAATATACGTGTATATGTGTATATAATATTATGTACACGCCGTACTCTGCCTCTGGTGTGGCCACCCCAACACAACGGGCATCCAGTCCATTATAGACATGTAACACACATGTGCTACATCTACTCAAAGACAAGCCAATTCTTTGATATGTACAATAAAACGGGAAAATCTTGGACGATTATAGCTTGCACTGCTCCTGCACATATTTTTATTTGAAGCGTTGCAATGCACTCGTGTCCCGTTGTGCGGCTATACCATTGCATTATCTAATAATTACTAATTGAATAATACATCGAGCTTACTTCTGATGATTTACTCGGGGATAAATAAATACCTTATTATGCTCTACCTCAAAAATAAGTTTGTAAGATGGATCTTTTTATCTTTACAACTAGGTACGATAACTTGTTATTTTTATTATTTTTTTTTTTTACTTTTTAGTAGAAATCTATCAGTCTGTATAATTGTTATTATTACTGTATATATAACGCTGCTCAGGAAATAAACTAAAAATAAAATAAAAAGTACGTATAGGTAGGTACACATGATTGTCCATGAATATCGTATGAAACTGGCAAAAGGCTTCAATAAACATAATTCGGTGAATCAATCAGTACCCGTTACTGCCTACATGGTTTGGTTGATGGCGAAGCCATCGTGCATATCGAGTACGTTTTTTGGAGGAAAAAAATCCATGTATATTACGTATTTTGTACCGATGCGAAAAAGCACCCCATAGTCAAGGGGGACTCAATCATAGTCCAACGGGACAAGAGACACGTTTCGCGCGCGCACCTTGACAATAGTAAAACAAAGGCGGAAGTTGTAGAGGAGTAGGTAGGGAAGGGGAGGACGAGAAAATCACGGGTACATAAGTATTCCAAGTGAGGCGCCCGTCTGCGCTCCTCCTTTCAACTCGGCGAGCACGTACTCGCTATATACACATGTATCGATCCATCCGAGTCGTCCAGTTCTCCGTTTGCGAGAAAAAAAAAGGGGGGGTGGGGTAAGAATGTACGAGCCTTTGATGTCCGCCAGGCGCGCTAGGACAGAAACGAGGAGGTGGGGGGAGATGAAGGCACCGATAGGATCACTCAGAGCTTTGTGACGGCGGCGTCTGGCACGTTGACCCTCTGGACGACTTCCGCCCGTTCCTCTCCTCTGCGACGGTTGATGGACGGGATCCTGGTGACGCCCACCTCAACCGGCAGCGGCATCTTCTCCCGGCGGGCCAGTAGCCGCTGGTACGTCTCGTTGTCCTGCAGGTGCAGCGCGGGGCTCGTCGAGGTCCGCGCGGCGCTGTAGGTCCCACGTCCAATCGTGCCCGTGGGTGGGCTGGGCTTGATGATGATGCGCGGCAGCTTCGTCCCTCGCTCCGGAACCCGGGGACGGGGACAGTCTGGCTGGTCTATCCCTACCCCGTTGTTGCCGATGATGGTAGAGTCTTCTTTTCTCGCTGGCTGGGGTCGAAATATATTCGTAACCACGATGAATGGAAAAATATGACGATTATGAGTAACTCTTACCAGAGGGTTTTCGGTGTTTTTGGTGACGGGCTGGATGACGATGTGGGGCTCGCTCTTCGTGCCCAGGACCAGCGGTTTTGGAGCGCCGTGAACGGGGCATACCGGCAGACTGAGGGCACTGGATACCTTGGGCTTGTCACCGGCGTCGGCCAGATTCGGTGACGATTGGTTCTTTGGCGAGTCGCTCTTCTTCCGGAGCGGGCCTACGTGGAGATTAGTCGTGACCGACATCATGGACGTGTTTGCGCTCTTCTCCCGTTCCTCCTCCTCCTCCTCCTCCTCTTCTTTGTCCTCGACGCAATCGAGACTCCTGGGAGTATCATGGAAATATAGAAAAATTCGAAACTGTACAAGAGTTTGGATGAAAAGTACATTAACTTGTGTATACTTTTGCGGTGTGTGTAAAAATACACGTGTATACGAAAGGACATTGTTTTTTGTGCAAAATACATGTTTGCCACTTTTGTCCAAAACACGTGTCATTCGACCGATAAACTGCCTGGGGCACATTAGTAATGAATCACACGTTATGTCGTTCACTTTAATTACGTTGACCAACGTATCGAATCGATAACCACGAACAAACATCCCGTAATTGTATGCCATCGCGTATGAAGTGCATACCCACAAGCAGCGTGGGACCATTACCCGTTACAACATTGCCTTTACCAATTCAACGTACGCTTTTGTTTGTCACTTTCATGAAATTTTCATTACGATCATGGCCAGTCATGTCGGCCGTATTTCTTCTCACTCAACCAACTCGAGGAAAAAACAAAATGACTCTTGAATCGAGCATTGGTAGGTATATTTAATAGCGGTGACATTTATCTTGACGGATACTATACGTATGAGGGCCAGAACGGGAGGATCAGCAGTATGCTCTTCCATGAAATAATCAATCTCTTTTGACGCGATGATATCAGTGTGCATGTGTGGGGGAGCGTGTATACCTGGAGGTGCCGTATAATCGTGGTGGCGGCGAGGGAGGCGTTGCCAACAACTGTCGATGACAAGACAAGTAGCCTTGGGGCGGAGGCTGCTGCTGCCTCGTTGCCGAGAAGGTAGAGGACGACGAGCCCAGGACGAAGGAGGCGTTCGGGGGAAGGGAGCGGCGCTTCTCCAAGTCGGGTAGGACCTTGGGATAGTTGCGCCGCCTTATAGTCCTCAGAGCCTCCTCGTGGCTGTTGCCCGGGGCGGGGGTGGCTGGCACGGGGTTGGCCTCTCGGCTGGTCACGTTCACGTCGAGGCTCGGCTGTTGGGACGGCGGAGGCGAGCCGAAGGTGAGCAATCGAGGGAGCGTCGATGAGCCGCCCGAGGCTACCTGCTGGCTCTGCGCCCCCGTCTGATCCTGTATCGGCTGAAAATTAAAATATCAGCGTTTTTCTGTTGAGGTTCCCTATAGAGCACTGTACGGTGATAAAAGAGTTTCGCCTTACCACGTGGCTCTGTTGTACGTGGTGGTTCACGGGTAGACGTGATTTCATCCGAGGATTGATTTTTGCATATAGACTACTGGCGCTGCCGGAATCCGACCCGTTAACCCTCGTAGATGCCGGAATGGCCTTGCTCGGAATTTTATCCATCGGTAAGGGGTCACTTCTGGAATGATGATGCTCGATAACGACCACGTTAGCCGCACCCTTGGGGCCGCCCCGTAGTCTCTGCTTCTTCTTTCTCTCCGTCTCGTCGCAGTCCGCCCCTTCATCCTCATCCTGCGTGTCGTGACAATCTTTTTACTCACCCTAATCTACTCGCTTACAGGCCGTTTTCTCCCTCCCCCTTCCTCTCTCTCTTATACATGGATATCATACATCAGCCAGCTTTTTCTCTATTTACGGTGTACGCTCGCAAGATGAGAAAAATAAATCTGTGTTTTGAGGTAAATAAATTTAAAGGAAAAAAAAAAAAAAAAAAAATTGGTGTACAACGAATTTAATTCCACAATGGCTCTGAAAAAGCTGTATGGTAGTGTATGGTGGATTTTTATTAATGCTTGAATTCTTCGGTAGAAGGCTATGCGCAAGGTGTGTTGTGGTCGTGTAGATATGTAATATTTTGAAAAAAATTAATTATTTTGAGTACAGGTCTGCTATTTCTGTTGTGCTACAAAAACAAGTGCTGGGAAAATACTAAGAAAACAATGCTTTAGGATTTTCGGATAAAAGAAAAATTTTGTCGTAAGAAAGTGGGTAAATTACTCATTACAAAACTAATCGAAACCAATTCAAAAGATGTTGTACTTAAATAAGTGTTGAAACCTATCCTCACAATTGCAGTGTAGTTAATTTCTAAATATATTTTATTTATAAATATGTACTTTTAACTGTAGCAAAAAAAAGTACGGTAGTAATAAATACGAATTTGACTATGATTATTTATTTTATGACTACTTATACAATGAATGAACACAAAGTTCTACTTAAAAGGTAGTAGTTGACTAATGAAGCATCAAATACGGTTTGAGATGGTGAAGAGGGTTGTTCACATGTCATATCCAAATAATTTATTGTCGTTATTCAATAAAAGATGTTTAATAAAGTGGTTGTGTATTAAAATTAAAAAAATTAAAAGTTGTATTCAACTATTTGAATATGAAATACTTCCCACACATTCTTCTGCAACGCAACAGCTACATCTTATTCCTACCACTCAGTTATGCCGTAATTATTGTTTCTATGCTTGGGTATAACATGAGAATTCCAGAGACTATAATATGTATATTACCCGCGTACAGTGGGAAATGCAAGTTTTATGAGAAAACCAGAAAAGTCAGAGAAAGATGCTCGTCCTCGTCAAGATTACCCTCTGCCTCTTTCGGATTAAAAACTTTCTCTTTTCATCACTTCTCGCTTTCTGCGAGGAAACTTTTTTCTTTTTCCCCCTTTGTCTGTTTACACGTATCCAACTCGTAGGAAAATGCTTCGAAACGAGCACAGCTCGTGAGGAAGAAAATAGCGGGAATTTATTAATTGGGCAAAACAGCATTTGCAGTAGTGGGGTCAAGTAGTACAGCTCAGCTTGTGGTCAGGCATGTTGGCTTAGTTACATTTAATGGGGCCGGATGAACATCGTCAGTGTGGGAACTCGTTTCTTATGATTTTCGCAACTCATCCTCTCCCCCGTGTGGTGCATGTACGTGTCTGAGGAAGGCCAACACTCGTGTAAAAGTTACAATTTCATTTCTCATGCAAACAAAGTAATTTCAACTTTAAATAGAAATTCCCGGGAGGCTTGTGCAATCATTTCAGTTATTAAATAGGCAGAAAGTTTGTATGTACGTTTGTAAACACTTATTTCAATGCACAATGTTAAATTTTTTTTTAATGTCTTGTAAATGCATCATTGTAAATATACCGTATCCAAGTACAGTATTTATACGTGGGTATCTGTAAGCTTAGTAGTCGAATACTTAAATAAATATAAAATTTTATGTGAAACGTAATAAATTATCTCTCTTAAAATCCGTTGGAATTTGCTCTTGATGAAACTCAATTTGTATGAATTCTTATTTAATTAAATTGTTTATTAATCAATATAAAATATTTTACTTTTATCGTGTTGAATCTAGAACGTATATTCAATAGTTATGTGAAAACCGTAAATAAAACAATAAAGTCGTTCCAGAGATTAATATTTTTTCACATATTTTAAATCGTTTTTATGATTTTGGAAAAAAAAGAATAAATGAAATTGAAAATAAAACAACACGAAAGAAAAGAATCGCATTTTTCAAACTAAACGAGAGATCATCGCGAGCAAAAAAAATTCAAAACGCGATCTCCTGTTTTAAATCCACGCTTTGGAAATTGACTTGCTGAGCTTTAAAGCCTAGTCAAAGCTTTTGCTGCTAGCTTTCATTCAAAACGAAATATCTGCACAGTTAATCTCACTTGTTTGTCATCATATAAAAAAAAAAAAAAAAAATGGTTTTCGCGATATTCGCATCCCCAACTGTGCACCACATTGAACTACCGAAAGTACAAAAATGCGTGTACGTGTTCTCATTGAACTAAAAACTTCATGCGTGATTATTTGATGACATTGTAACACAGCACTTTGCAATCGATAAAAGGTAGGGAATGAAAAAAAAGGTACCTCGTTGAGCTCAGTGGGCTCGCAGTACTCCGAGGCCCCCATCATAGCGTTCTCGAGGGAGTTGAGGTACTCGCTGGACACCTTGGCGAGCTCGATGGGCACCTGATTGAGGATGGAGTCGGTGCGGGCAGCCGGGGTTGCGTCTATGGCCACCGAAACCTTCGAGGTCTGCTGGTGCTGTCGCTTACGTGGTCCGCCCGGCCTCACGCGTATCTCCTGAGCACCAGCCGCCTCGTACAGAGCCTCGTCCAGCTGGCGCAGCTGCTCCTCGTCCTCCTGGCGACGCTGCTGTTGGCGCATCAGCTTCTCCTGGTGCTCGCGCTGCAGCGTCTCTCGCGTTTTGCGTAGGAAATGCGGCGAACATCTGCAGCCGAGGGACAATTCCCGTGAAAAATATGGGGTTTGATCAAAAAAGAGGAAGGGGAAGAGGAAGGGCTTATTAGCGATAAAAGAGCTCCAAAAAAAAAACAAAAAAAAAACACAGATTAGCTTGCCCCGTGTCTTGGCTGGCGCTCGCTCACGCCTCGTAAATCGCACTTACCCTGCACCCCGCATACCACTCGGTGCAAATTTATTCTTTGGCATTAAATACATAAGCGCGCCGTGCTCAACAAGTTTACACGCGCGTGCACGCTAAACTCCCGGATGCACTGCCTATGGGCTTAATTGCCCGCTTTAGGTGCTTGCATCAGAGGTGGGGGCAACAAACCCAATAAACCCACTCTCAATATAGGGTACACGAGGGAGGCCTGCCGCGCTTTGATCACGAGTGGGAATTTCAAGTGGTAAACTTATCGATCCGTCTTGCCTGCGATCGACCGACTTTACCTTTAGCCGTGAAAGGGCTTTTCCCCTATTACAAATCATTTGGTGCCCTCGTAAGATCCAACTTTGAGTATATAATTATTCAATGCGAACAAACGTTTTTTTTTATAATAATGGTCAGAGTTTTTTTTTCTAACCATTGCGGAATAATAACTTTGCTCACGAGATAATTGCATAAACAATTTACTCGCTCAACCGGTAAGAAGATTAACGTGGCTACCAATTTTAATTTTTATCTTTTCGTAAATACACCGCCCTATACGAAGTGGATTACGTGAATTACGGGGGTAGGGGGATATTAATTGTGTAAAAGCTTAAACGACCTGCCGGGAAATATGTTTCGCGGTATTAAGCATGCGATGGACGATAATTAATATTTTTTAATGAAAATTGATTTTCAAAGTACATGGGCCACGATAAAGATGCTTTTGCAGCCGGGATTTCGTATCAAAAGTATACAAAAAACACCCCTACGCAAAAACCCACATTGTCTGCATTGTGGTACAACTTTTATTGAAGATGTTTGTCCATTGTTATCGCCAACGAGGGAAAAGTACGGTTATTAAAAGTCAAACCTCGACCAAGACGCACAACTTTTCGATAGCTAATTAAAATTTTTCCATCGTTACGAGATTTTTCGCGTGTGTACAGCCCCAGTGGAAACACACGGGGGCCCATTCAAATGCGCTTAGCCATCATCCTGCGGGTATCGCATCCTCGAGGAAACCCCATTTTCTTTCCATAGTTTGCATAATAACCTTCGCTGGATGAAACTTTTCCGGGGGGAAAAAAAGGCTCAAGTCCACAGAAACAGAAAAGTATTCGAAAAGCGCCAGCTATTCTTTTACGGAACAAAGCACCCGACAAAGTTTTTCCAGACCCATGTATCGCCACACACACATACGGGGTTAATTAAAACGCGCTCCCATCCACGAGAGGCAAGCAGTGCTATACTTGTATTCAACTAGTTATGAGGAAGGGATGAGATCACCCGGGAGGGCCAATTAAATTCTGCGTAATCGTCTATAATTGAGCTCCCATAACTCAAGCAGTTGGTGGCGATAAATCTCGGTAACGACCAAGATTCGTAAATTTAACTCGAGAGCTGTACATTATGTATCCGCATCCACTTGGAACTTTGAGTGGTATTACCCGCGGAGCCACGCGTGCAGGGAAAAATCGACCGGCAAAGTCTCACGCGAGCCTCGCTAATGGCTCTCGAGTTTCAACGCGCATGTGCCTTGGTATTATTATTATTATTATTATATTTGTTTCACGAGTACCTTGAGGGTGGCTTGGTTCCCCTGCTACATCTGCTTAGAAATTCCACCACCCCGTACTACCATTTGCAGGGGAGTAGGTGGGGACACGAAACCAGAAACTGACTCTCAGAGTCGCGCGTACAATCTCTCGTTCGGGCGCACTCGAAAAGGCTGCTGGCTCGAGCGAAGAGCAGCACAATGGGAGCGGGCGGGACAGCCCCTTTCTCTCTCTTCCTTTTTCCGTGGCTCATCCTCTGTGGATACTCGCTTGCGAACTTGTGCTTTCGGTGGGTTACGCGAGTCGGGCCAGATTAGGCTTGGGAATAAAGTGAGGAAGGGTAGGAGGAGTTTGCGCAAGGAGTCGCTGAATTTGGTTTGGTTCAACGGGAGTTCAATGGGGAAATTTTGGCCAAACTCGCGGCTGCCGAGCGATTCTTTCGACGCGGATAAACATCCAAACTCGCTTCCTCTCCTTGCCCCTGCGTTCGACGGCTCGTGATTTATCCGGAGCTTCGCAGATAATGAATTGTTTCGGGTAATTTTCACGAGCCGTTTGCTCGAATCATCTTCTCCGGAGGAATGGACTTTCGAGTGTTTCATGATAATGGGCACTTTTCACTAGCAGCCACATCTACCGCTACTTGCAAAGTTTTTCTCACTCCGGCGGTTTTAAGCTGATCGGTGAATCGAAGCTGCAGTTGATATTATTTATGGGGACGTAAGATTTCCATTATCGACAACTTTTTTTTTTTTTTTTTTTTTTTTTTTACGGAGCAAAAAGTGATGAAGTCACTCGATGGACGAAGGGGTGAAACATTATCATCGAAATTCGAGTCGAAAGAAAAAAAAAAAAAGTGCGATGATAATACTCGATACGAAATGTATAGGTCGACGTTCGAGGCAGTAAATTCGAGGGAATAGCATCGTAAACACGGCAAGGGCTGGAAGAGCAAACGAGCCGTTATCTGGGATATATATGCACTTTGGGGGGTACGGCAGGTACCCACGTATACCTGCGTCTTCCATCTCCGGGAGCAAAACGTATAAAGTTGGAAAGAAAATTGCCTGTAACCCTCAAGTTTTTTAATGTTTTTATGCTCGCCCTTCGAGTGATAATCTCGTCGGGTGTGCCACTCGTGCCCCGCAGGTGTACTGGGAATACCACCGACTGGTGTAATTTCGATAACCCGTTCCCAATGATTCCATTAACCCTTGGACCCTCGGATTTCGAGTCCCTTATCACTGTACTGCTCATCCACTCGAGCCAAATTAAAGCTCCGCCCGGCTCCTTCGGACACTCGTTCAATTACGCTATGTGGGCCATGCACTTCACCGAAGCGCTGCCCGAGTCTCTGTGCTGGATCGGGAGTTCTAGCTTTCATTTTCTCCTTCAAGGAAAAAAAAAAAAAAAAAAAAAGAAAACAACCTTCGATGCAGATGGGAGGGGATGAAAAAAATCAATACTCCAGCAGGTAGAGCCTCCCCGGCACTGGGATGCTCATTCAAATCGGAGATGGCGAAACTCAGGAATTCAAATGGGCTGATATCGACCCATGATAGACAGATTTACATAAAAATATAGCCACGACGTACCGGCTGTCTCGCGAAATTCCCTCCGGCTGAGGAGCCCCGCGTCGATCTGATCTCTCCCCCCCCCCCAGCTCGGAGATCGCGTTTCTCTGCACACGGGCTTAAGTGGCTTTCAGTCGCACAACCGGGTACTTTGTCGATGCATGTAAGCCCCCCCCCCCCACTCTCGAGTTCCGTACTCGATCTCGGGGCACAGAGCACCAAGCTCCGATGGATCGACAGCTTCGCGCTTTCCACCCGTCCCGGGGAACAAACAGATAACACACACACACACACGTGTACTGCACGTCAAGGATCTCTCCACGGGTGTCGGATAATCAGCGATAACGAATGCAGGAGACGCGGGCGCGATTCCAGTCGCGATAAGCTCCCCGTGAACTGCCCAGCTTAATTTCCCCGCTGGCTGGAGCTCGTGATCTTTAACGGTGGCTGACCTGAGAACCCCCTCTTCCTCCCTCGTCTGGATCACCTTCTTTTTTTTTTCAACCCTCTCCTTCTTAAACTTGGTCCAATTTCTTTTTTGTTCTCGGCCTGGCGGGGAGAAATAATTTTGACCACCCCCGGGGCTGGGATTAAATTTTCAAACAGCGCTGGGCTCTCCGTTTTTTTTTAAATCGCAGCTTTTACCTGCTCGTCGAAAGTTCAAGCAGATCTGCCGGCGAGGATGCAATCAAAGGGTCGTTTTCGTGCCCTTTGGAATTTCACTCGGAGCGCTTTCGTTAACGGTTCCTTCCCCCCGAGAGCGGCGCTTTACGATATCGCAGCCCGTAAAAGCCCGGAGAGAAATATTCTTTCACTGCAACAGTAGAGGGAAGGGCTAGAAAATGAGAATCGCGGAAAGCCGAGTGATTAAATTTTCCAGCCGCCGTTGCGAAAGGGGAGGAAGGACGATCCAGCCTCAGTTTTTTCTTTTTTTTTTCTCGGAGAGCCACGATGGACAACAGCCCAAGAGTCAATGCACCAGTGGTAACGAGCTCGCAAAAGTATCGGGGTTGTGCATTATTGGGCTCCCAACTTCTCGAGGGCCCGTGGAAACCAAAAATTCGCCCTGCGTGCAGGGCACTCGCGCCCGAGTCGGGGCTCCCTTTGCATTGTGCACCACACACAACTCGGCGCGCATTACAGCGTATACACGTGAATAGGCACGGAGCGTCCCTTTTTAAAGGAGTCCGTAATTGGACCGTCTTTTCTCCCCCAACCACCCCCTTGGTACTCGACTACTGCTGCTCGAAACTACCAGCGGAGAAGAAGCCGCGTCGGCGAGCCGGACGAGGGCCCTCGAACCGAGCCCCAGCGGTGGTGCATGCACTCCTCTTTCGCTCGTCCAATTAGGCAAAGCCGGAAAAGACACATACACTGCACTATACACTCCTTTTGGCTTCTTCCCCCTCTACGGAGAACAACTCGTGAGAAACCTCCGAAATGGATTTTTTTTTTTCTTTCTTTCTTTCTTTTTCATCTCCTTTTGGCTTGCCCCGGGATTTCCCCGCTCCTTTTTTGTTTTTTCAGCGATCTTTTATTTGGTTAAAAAATCTTCGAGCTCGGCTTCGGAAAGCAATACCGACGAGGCTGGCCATTGTAATCACGGGGGGGGGGGGGGGAGATGGGGCACTTTCGCCATCCCGGGAACTCTCATTCACGCGCAAACGAGTTTTTTCATGGCCATTTCTCAGAAACCCTCCCACCCCTTATACCTCCACGGTGAATTGCCTCTTTGCGCAGGACCGATCCATAATGACGGTACCACGTCGCGCGGAGGGGGGGGGGATCTTTATACTTACAGGAGCTCGAGAGAGATGCTTTTAAATATCAAGCGTGGCCCGGTGAATTATTCATGAGGGTAAAACGTCGAGTGGAATGAAACACCGATGGGAGGCTGATACAAAATTTCAAGAGCGGAAACGCGTATCGAGGGGCATGTAGAGTGGAGGGTACACATTTGTGGTACGTACACGTCGAAAGGGGTCGAGTGATGATGAGCTCGAGATTATATTTACATTACCCTTTAGAAGAGAAAAAAAAAAAAAAAAAAAGAAAAAAGAGCTGACCTGTGCACGATCTCCTGCTGGATCCACTCCCTGACCTTGGTCCTGGTGTCTATGGTGGAGGTCGAGTTCTCCCGCGACCTGCGGCCAAAGTTGGAGTTGTTGTCGTAAGCCTTGTCGTTCTTGATGATTTCGCGCAAGTCAGGCTTACTGGCGTTGCCGTAGCCGAGGTGCCTCGGGACGCCGAGGGTGCCCGCAGCCGCGCTACCCGCGTCCTGGGAGCAGCCGAGCGTACGACTCGCGCCACCCTGGGCCAAGGGACCGCCAAAGCCTGTGGTTTTGTTGCGCACCTGCTGGCATCTGTGGTACAGGCAGACCAGGAAGGTCGCCTTTATCAGCAGAAAGAGGACGCCAAAGCCGATTAACAGCGAAACGGCCGAGCCGCTGCGTGACCCCTCGCCCCTCCCTCCTCCAGCCACCTCCGTGCTGCTCCTGTCGTCGTCCAGACTCGGTCTCTGGTGCTGCAGCGGATCGTCACAAAACATACACATTGCGTCCTCAAAGAGACCCACTCTGATGTCTGTCCTCGAGCTTTTTGCGTCCCTCTTAAACTCACGACAAAAGCGCGCGCTCTTTGCTCACGTTGTTCCGCCGTACGTAATAAACGAGGAATTTTTTTGCTTCGCAGCACTATTTTTTTTATTGCATTTTCCCCGACCCGTGGGGATGAATAGAGGAAAAGGCCATTGTGCTCGGGGAGAACAAAGTGGAGGCAAAGTTGGATGTCCCTCGAGGTCTACAGTTGGTAAGCACCTCGGAGCTCCCGGTAAGCGGACCAATAGGGAGAAAATAAGGCCAGAGTTGGTTATATGTACTCACGCTGGTTCGGTCGGGCTCCCCGTCGCCCAGATTCCAGGGGGCCGTGTTGCCACCGGTGCCGGTGGTGTTGCCGCGCCCACTGAGTACATTGGCGGGCCTCTCGCGGTCGAGGAGGTCGAGGAAGCCCGGCCGCTGCGGCCTCGTCTTCTCGCGGACGGCCTGCTCGGCTGCCTTGGGCCGTCTCAGCAGCTGCGGGATCTCCTCGTTCCAGAATTCCATCTCCGCTTCTCGGTAGCCTCGTCCGATCCGTGGTGGCGTGGCTGGGCGCGAGAGGAGACAAAGAGAGAATAAACAAAAGTAAAGTGCGCGCCGTGATTTTATTTTAAGCGCGGATGGACCGGCAAAAAGTGGGCGAGCGGGAGAAAGAGGGTTGGGCGCAGAAATATTGGATTTCTGTTTATCCAGCTTAATGCTCGGATTATCGGGTTTGCACTCCGAGCGTGTTCGGGTGGATGGAGGGCGCGCACTTTCCCGAGAAAACCGCCCCCTTTGCTTGTACCTGTACGCGCGCAAGCGAGCGATTTCCCAGGCGGTGCGTGCGACTTTTTTTTTTCCATTCGGAAGAAACGAAAAGCTCTTTTCGAAATCGAAATCTCGAATTCGAGCTCCCTCGAATCGCGACTTATCCTCTCAAGATGAATATTTTATATTTTGCGTCGTTTCGTCGAGAATGAATGTTTGGTCTCTACTTAACGGCGAAACTTTTTCATCTCGCTCCAAAAAATGTCAAAGAGATACCACAGATCACATCGAAAAAGCAAGTGGACACGGAAGTAAGGGATCTGTGGCCAATCGGATTAATGTACCCCGATCAGCGTACCGCGACCGAACCGGCCAAAGATGCAACCCGCTCGGCCACTTTCTGCTGCGACTGCTGTACGTCGTCGTTGGCAAACAACTTACTGAGATTAAAGTAAGTCTGGTTCTCGGGGTCGTACTCGGGCCAGTCGATGTGGTAGGGCGAGCTCGGCCTGTACTCGTCCCTTAGGTAGGAGAGCCGTCTGGGCGGTGGCCTGGCGCTATTTGGATTCCTGAGAATTAGAGAATAAACGAGAATGTATTTTTGCCCTTTCGCCCCTTCTGCTTTTTATGTACAGCCAAGCGCTACTGCGGCGAAACTTTCTCTTTGGCTCCCTCCAAAGACTCTCCACTCTCGTCCGCTTCCTTCCTCTTCTTCTTACTTATTAGCCGTCCACTGTACCTTACGCTACGAGGTACCATTGCCACCCTCCCCGGGCCCCCTAATGCTGTCGCCGTTCTATTAATTTACGTCCGCTGTTGCGAGCTTTTCCTCTTTCCGGCGCTAAGCAATATTAATGCACTGCCCAACGCTATTGCGGGTATTTCTTTTTTTTTTCCCCTCCCCGGCAAATCGAGATTCGGGGAGTTAAATCAATTCGGAATTAATTAAGAGAGGGGCCAACTCACCCGGAGTAGGCAAAGTTGCACCACCAGTTCATCATAGCCTTGGACAACAGAAGCTCGCCCCTGTCGTACGATGCGCTGAGGTGGTAGCCCTCGCCGTCCAGAGGCACGCCCAGCACGTAAGGCAGCTCCTCGCCGTGCATCGTCCGCCTTACCTGTGAAAACACATGCGAGTATGAAACTTCTTTTTACGCTAAAGTCAATTATTTTCTTTTTCTTTTCGGAGCGATCGCGTCGTTACATCCGTCGGTGCTTCGCATTTCCATCCACCCGTAAGTTTTATCGACAGGAAGCCTCGTGATATTTTTCCGTCCCACCTCTCCCCAAAACGTGACACCTGCCCGCTGCTTTTCATTTGCCACCAGTGATTTTTTTCCCATTTCTCCGTCCAACCTGTTGGTGTTTTCGAAAATAGAGTCGGGTTGGCGCACGGACGTATTTTCCCGGCGGAAAATTGAACTAGGGAGCGATTCCCCGCGACTGGTCGATATCTTGTCCCCAGCACGGACCGGCATTCTCGGATGGAAAGACGACCGACAGGCGATTTCGTCCCTTCGCGTTGCGGGTGAGCCACAGTCGTGGAGAAATTCCGTTTTGCCTTCAATGAAATTACACGAAAACGAATGGCAGTGGTCCTGTTCTGCTTGGTTACGTTGATTGGAACGGGACTGGTATTTGTAAATCGATTTTCCATCTGGCATTCGGGAAGAAAATTTTGACGTCCTTGCGACTCTCGGGAATAACATTTATTTGAAAAATGAGTTGCGATACGAGTAGTAGTGGGGAAAGATAAGTTGAAGACTTACGTTGAGGTCCTGCACAGTTTGGTCCCGGAAGGACTTGAGGTGGGAGAAGACGTACATGTAGCTCTTGGGGTTGGCGCGCGAGTGCAGGGCGGCGGTGGCCATGAGCGGGGCCACGACGCAGCTGTCGGAAGCCACCTCGAGGGCGATATCGCGATTCCACTCGTACTCGTTGCCCAACTTTGCCTGCTCCAGCCGGCTCTCGTCCCCGTAGTGCTCGAGAACTTTTCGCAGGATCAGATCGGGCTCCAGCTCGTGGCTCGCCTGTTCGTTCGGACAATGAATTTTTAATCAAAGGTAACGATCAACATCCCACGTATTTTTACATACTACTTGCATTTCAAATATATATTTATAATCTTACAAGTGCACAGGAATGGACTACAAGGGCTTTATCACGGCTTTCGATATCTCGCAAAAGTCAGTATTTTTTTCGATAATTTAAGTAAAATTATGGTTGAGCTTATGCGCAGTCTAAGAATTATCGAAAAAAAAATACAGACTTTTGCGAGATATCGAAAGCCGTGATAGAGCCCCATTGGGTATGAAATGCGTATTTGCAAAGAACGAAAGTAATGAGTAAAGTGTAGACTTTAAATAACGTACTTTTCCAAGAAAAACTGTACATTTATGTTTTGTTCACATAATTGGTCATATACTCAAGCAAACAAAAAGTTACAATTTATAAATGGTATTCAAATATAAGATATTTTTCACTCAGCTTTTTTCATGCGAGAGACTGTATCTTGCTCTTAGTCATGTTTTAATTATTGTTTCTATGCTTGGGTATAGCATGAGGATTCCAGAGACTATATGTATATTACCCGCATACAGTGGGAAATGCAAGTTTTATGAGAAAACCAGAAAAGTCAGAGAAAGATGCTCGTCCTCGTCAAGATTACCCTCTGCCTCTTTCGGATTACAAACTTTCTCTTTTCATCACTTCTCGCTTTCTGCGAGGAAACTTTTTTCTTTTTCCCCCTTTGTCTGTTTACACGTATTCAACTCGTAGGAAAATGCTTCGAAACGAGCACAGCTCGTGAGGAAGAAAATAGCGGGAATTTATTAATTGGGCAAAACAGCATTTGCAGTAGTGGGGTCAAGTAGTACAGCTCAGCTTGTGGTCAGACATGTTGGTTTAGTTACATTTAATGGGGCCGGATGAACATCGTCAGTGTGGGAACTCATTTCTTATGATTTTCGCAACTCATCCTCTCCCCCGTGTGGTGCATGTACGTGTCTGAGGAAGGCCAACACTCGTGTTAAAGTTACAATTTCATTTCTCATGCAAACAAAGTAATTTCAACTTTAAATAGAAATTCCTGGGAGGCAGATTATTAAAACGTTCGGTGCATGTTGCTCTCCGCATAATTACTACAAATTAATTACTTGTACCTACTATCAGCAAACTATTTTACAAAAGACAGAACCGTTGCGGTAGTTTTTTCCCTCTAGAGCAAGATAGCTTTTTTTTTCGACTAACTTTTCCCGCGAAATTCTTTTTCCAAGGGAGGAGAAAAAGATTGATTGACAGAGGAGACAGATGAGGGAATTCAGAAATCGAATCGGATGGGGGGACCTCATCCTTGGAATTGTCCCTCACATGTGCATGTCTGTAAATCTAGGGAACATAAGAGGAAAGGGACGTATGTACAAAAGCGACGTACGTACCTTGACGCTGTCGCGGATGAATTCGTCTCGCCTGGCGTTGGACAGTCCCTCGAGCAGCACTACTCCCGGCAGCACGTGGAATTTCTCCAATTCCGTCACACCGTACATGAGGTCGAACCTGTGTGCGCGTGTGTAGTGTACAGTACAAGACAAGGCGTTGTTACTACTACCACTACAGCAACTGTGTACTATACTGCTGTCGCATTCCCGTGGGCTCGACTTCTAGATTCAAGGCTCGCGCGCGAGCATCCGTGAAAGCCCCGACTTTCACGAGTTTGCGAAATTGGCTGCGCGCACGCCCCCACCGTTGCTCGCTACTTTGACAAAACGCGCGAGAATTTTTCCGCGTACGTAGCCCCCAAAAGCAGTGCGCACCTCCGACTTCACGATCAGACTTCTCAAAGGGATTACTCGCGCGCAATGTCCGACCAAAGTTCCCACTTGATGCTACCCCGCGATCAGTAGAACAGTCAACGTACGGTCGGACGGACAGTTTTTCACTTCCATCGCCAGTCGCTATAATCGAGGCCGTGAATGAGCTCGAAAGTATTTTTCTCGAGATAAATTTGGAAACCTGTATTAATCCTTACATTTACCTACGGGGAATGCGAAGCACGACAGCTAATTTTCCCGAGCGGGGACTCTGCTTTGTGGTGTGATTATTTCCATCAGACGCGAGAGTTAATTATTCACACACAGCCGCGCACCCACGACGGAGATATAGGCATTCCGTGAAAATTCAATACCCGGACCCTCCGATTCAGACCGTGGCGGCGAATTCCGCGGGTTAAATCGAATTTTAAATAGAGGAAATTCCATCGCCCGAGAATCCAGTGCTCAGCGCAACGATTAACGGGGCGAAGAGGGGGGAACTGTAGCTCAAAAATATTTGAGCCACGCAACTTGCGAGGGGGGGGGGGCGTGTACCTACGTAGCAGTGTGTAAGATGCGCTCGTTACCTGGCCAGGCGCTCGGAATTCTTCATCAAGTTTGCCGGCTTGTCGGGAATGACGGCTGACTCGACGAGCGGCGCGAACGCGGGCACGTACTTGGGCTTGTGGATCTTGACGCCGAGCAAGTCCTGGACCGAGCGGTTCTTCAGGCACCCGACCAACTCATCGTCGTTCACTTGCGGGCAGTTCAGCGCGTACGCCACCTGTCGGGATTTTTTTTTTTTCACGTTTTATTTTTCAAAACAACAAAAATAGGGCACACACGAGTCAAGCAGCACTCACCTGTTTCGTGATTTGCAGGGGAGCCTTGCCGATGGCGTCCGGATTGAGCGCCGAACCGGACATGAGGATGGCTCTTTTGAACAGACCTGAAAGGAGATTGGAGAAAAAAAATAGATAGAGGCAGGTGGAGGGAGGATGTGTCAATGTACCGACCGTCTATCGGGCTGAGCATGAGCAAGTTGACGAAGACAGCTCCGGTGCCGTGGCCGAGTAAAGTTATGCTGCCGGGATTGCCACCGAAGCGGCCGATGTTGTCCTTGAGCCATACGAGAGCGGCTACCTGGTCGAGGAGGCCAAAGTTGCTCGCGGTGTCGTCCTTCGTGCCCGGCCGGAGAAAACCTGCACACCCACATGCAAGAGAATTTAGTTTACCCTGTATACTCTCGTCAGCTAGTGTCAACTGGATTACCAAGCGAGGGGTGCACTTTCCCCGAAATATATCGCGTTAGCCCAACGCAACTCCCGCAAGCTCGGAAAAAGCCTCTCGTTACAACGAATTCATCAAAACAAGCAAATGCACTCGGCACTACTTGTTTCACTGGTGCCCCGAACTTTTTTTTATTGTATTGTCGTACCTATACGAATGATGTACTGTCGAGGTGTATACGTGTATAATAAGTCTTTTTACCAAGGATTCCCAGTCTGAAGTTGACGGTGACGAAAACTACGTTGCCGTAAGCCGCCAGTACGCTGCCGTCGTACGGATTGCCGCTGTTCCACTCGTAGCTTTCGCCGTGGATGAACACCAGCACCGGGTACTTTTCCAGGTTTCCCTTTTGACCTGCAACAACAATACAGCCCAAAATTACTGCGATTCGCCGAAATTGCCGTTTGACCATATTCCCGGTACAGTTTCCGAAAAAGGTTTTAATATCTTTTCGCAGATGTACGCAATCGTCCTGATGAAAACTCTCGCAAACAGCTGCGAAGCAAATATGCAGATATTTTTCATTTAGAAATATTAAAAAGCTTAACTGACGGGGGGCCATCGGAGTCAACAACTGCACACGAGCTTTTTTATTTCGTATCAGCAGTTGACGTACATGTGTACGTCAGAGCACTTACAAACATACGTTCGTGCTATTTAATTGCGAAATTTTCGAGTTACTGCTTGTAAACGCATTTAATGAAATAATGTACATTACTGAAACAAAAAGAGGTAATATGATTAATTAAGGTATGGATTGAAAAAAAGAGGGTACAAAATTGTTTGACTTCAATGACATGACAGACACGAATGGGGCCACTATCATTCGAATGCATTAAAACAATCGCTCGTCCGTTATTACAGGTGAAACGCGATGATTCCCAGAGTCAAAAGGGAAAAAAAAATCCTTTCAGCTGATCCTACTTTCCGGGTGTTTCATATTACCCTGGAGAGTCGATGGCATGAGTTATACTCTTAATAGAATTTCCGGTTACTATATTTTCTCGGTGCACGGTATCTCTGTATTACGTGCAAAGAGGGGTAACTCGAAGAATCATTGTACGCGTGTGTTATATATATATACACACATTCGATAGGTAACGCAAAGGGATAAAGAGTATAAGGGAAAGAGGAGAACTCGAACAAACGAAGGTTGGAGGAAAGAGGGAGCTTGGAAAAAAAACGGGGGAGGGAAGCGCATTGTGCGAGCAGAAAAAAGTAGAGCTGGTTATTAAACGCTCGCTCTCGCCCCCGTCCTATTTTCTTGCCCTGTCCGCCACACCTCTCCTATAGCAGGTGCGTTTGAATAGGTGTTTCGCAATAGCGGGGGCTACTTTTTTTTTTTTTTTTTTTTTTTGTGGGCACTATCGCGAGGCGCGCGCGTGACCTCGACATTTCGCAGCTTTTTCTCACGCCACCGTCGATGATTTGCAGGCTTCTCTTTTTCTATGCCCCATTTTTTTCCACCCCCTCGATTTCTTTGGTCTCTGATTATTTATTTATTCGATAAAAGCTTTGCACTCAAGGTTCTGCAGTTTTTATTGTATTTTGAAGAAAAAAAAAAAAAAAAAAATGACAATACCACACGGGCGGTGGAAAATGAAATAAAAGAGCCTCGGGGAGGGGGTCCGACTTCTCGACAGGTGGACAAACCATTAGGCAAATTAAAACGGAGAAGACCCCGAGGAAGGAGAGACAGGTGGAGTCGTACGAAGGTATAATGTAAAAGAAGAAAAAAAAATAGACAAAGGGGCCGGCTCGAGAGGCAGCTTAATTTGTACTGCTCGCAGAGCAATTTGTCGGGGTCTGAGCACTTTATGCAATTGCCGAGGGTAGTAACCGTAGTTGGATGAAAGGAGGGGGTGGGGGTTCGAGACTTACGGTCAAGAGCATTAGCCGCGCGAATTTTCTTGCGCTGCACGCGTCGCTCTGCGGAGAACCCGGAGAGGTGTGTATTCCCCGTTTCCAGGGCGATCCTTTTGTGTCGGGGCATTATCAAAAGGGAGAGCACGCACACCACCACCAGCGGCGGGGAAAATAAGAGCAAACGAGTCGGCGCAAAAACTCCCGCAATTGAATAGTCCTCGGAACTTTGCCGTCCCTGCCTTTTTTGCGACCGCTCTCCGCGCGGCTGTCCGTTCCCCTTCCGTCTCCCGTTATGATTATTATGATTCGATTTACATTTCGCGCCTCCCTCGAGCCAATGAAAAATTTCCCGGGCGAGCGGAAACTTTTGATTTATACCGAAATTATCGAAAAATGAATAAAAGTTTCCGGAACAGAAAAGGGGGACAAAGTGCGGTCCCTTTATGCCGGGCGACGTGTGTAAACACCGCCGCCGTTGGTGGTTCAATATTTTTCCACCAAAGGCCAAATTTGTTATGCTAATGTTGGTGTGGAATAAATTTCAGGGGAGCGTGACAGAGTGGCTTATGGCAAGAATAATTCGGCACCAATGCCGTTCAATCAAACGGCCAATCAGTTTTGATCAGCCAATCGATCGGCGCCCTTATCACCGGCTGGGGGGAGTCAATCGATATGCGAACATTATTTGTGTCATCCTTTTTTCGGGATTTTTCACGTCCAGCAAATTGCTGTTTGTGTACCTGCACATACATTTTGTAAATTGCGCCATGGGAATGCACAAAGTCATAATACTCAATTATCGTGTACCGGTGTAACATGAAGCAGATAAATTTTTCAGAAATTAAAAAGAGATTGAGTTTTTCGACCTAAATGCAAAATATTACAAAAGCTCGCAAGCCCACTCAACGCAGTAACAAACATTAAACTGCAAGGGGGCTTTGTTCCAAATTCAGATAAATTTAATTAGCGCAACGATGCATCGAAATTAATTTTATTTGCCCCTCTATTTGAATATGCCAAACTCAATACTGCAACAATATATAACACAGCAATCAACAGTATAGCCGTGCTAATTAAAATAGTTTAGTTGAGATGTACCTTACAATATAATACGCCACGAAAGCCCCGAAAGTCCCAAGGAACAAAGGCACACAGCGGCATAAATCGAAATGGATTTAAATTATTCACAGGGCGCGGACCACTGCACTTTTCCTGTTCTGTGTATACAGGGTACTCGAAGGCACATCGACTTGCCCGGTATTCCCGATGAAATGTTGATAAGAGCCGAGGGAGAAAAGGCGACTTCAATTGCAGGAACAATAAAAGAAGTTTATCGGAAAGTCAAAGAGAAGGAGGGACGCGGACGGACGGCTCTCGGGGGTGGAGAGATTTACATGAAAATTGAAAGCCCGAGGATCCGTCTGTCTACGGTTCTGTTCGGGCCCATGTAAAATTGATGCATCGCTGAGAGACTCGTGTATGTGTCTTATTTACCCGGCTCCTCTCCCTCGTAAATCATTCGTGAAATCTTAGGTGCCCTGCATACTTATCCCCCGCTCCATCTTTTCGAACAGCGTCTCGGGATTTCCTTTTTTTTTCCACCCTCGCGCTCGTTGTACCGGGTTGTTTTTTTCACGTTTTCATATCGACTTTTCCGAGCTCGCGTTTTTATCGAGGAACCTATTGTCGCTTCGAGTAAAAAACCTTTCACCCAAAACTCGGTTAAAAAGACAGATGTGCGTATAATTTTCAAACACGGCGTCATCCGACGTAATGTTTTTCTCTCGTTTCCAGACAATATTTCCTCGCGTTCCCTTTACGTCCCACCCGTGAGATACTGCGACGTCACGTCCGTTTGGATTTTCATTTCCTTTCGCGGTACGCTGGAATAACATTTTACTAATGAAACAGCGTGTCACGAGCCGCAGGGGACACGTGTAGGTGCGTATAGAGAAAATCGGTGATTAATACCGTGATAATTTGCTCCACTCCATTTTCGCGAGTCAAGTTTATGGGTATTGCAAACAGCCTCACGCAACAAGATAATCGATGTTTGTTCGCCTCACCGTATGTATGAAAAATAAATTGGATCGACAGTTTGCAACGCGTATCAGCTAATATGATAATTTGCAATTAATTGACGTTGAGTTATGGGCGACGCTCGAGTGCCACCGAGACGTATTAAACAGAGCTCGTGTGGCCAACACGGGTATACATACGCGACCAAACGAGGGATCGTCGCCCATTCGAGTTCGGCAATTAAATTCAATAACCCCTCCCTCTGGGAACCGCGACGGGCTTTCACTTTGCCAGCGACGATAAATTTTTCAAGCCCGTACACGCGTGGAACGACCTGTCTTTTTTCTTTTTCTCTCCCCCTCTGCCTTGTTGTACCTCTTTTTTTTTCTTCTTTTTTTTTTTTGTCGGCTACGAATGTTCCGTCCACGTGTGCCCGGCCACGTCGATCAAAGCGCCCCGACCGCAACGGAAGCACAAGAGAAACACCCAGCCAGTACGTGTGCCACAGAGCCTGCGTTATTGGGCACGTATACGTGGGCTTGCACGCGGGTGCACGCCCTCCCGACGCGCCTCTGGACACTTGGCGGATCGATGCTGTCCAGGATCCATCTGTATGCATGTACGGCTCTTTGTGGTGTACACACGAATGCCGGGGTTCAAGCGTACGTGGGCATAATATACGTGGGAGAGCTTGCAGCAAATGAGCAGCATTAAGTGCACGGTGCGGTACATTACACATGCGTGTTTACACACTCCCGGGGTGGGGCGCGACATGTGTATACTTGTATATATATGTACCGTTGCAAAAGCTCCGTACCAGCTGCTGCCATCGCTGAGCTTGCGGCCGAACTGCCGTGGCTCCCCTGCTCCGATGGGATGGGTCTCGGAGCTTTTATCCCGAGAGCCAACGGCAGAGCGTTGCGAGCAGCTCGCCAGATGCCGGCAGTGTTCAAGTTGACGAGCGCCGTGGATTAATTTATCGGCAGGTCGGTGTAGAGTGTGGCTTTCGTTGGAGAACTTTTTTATACATCACCGAGAATCGGCTCGTTGATGGTTTCATGAACATTTTATTTCGAAATGGTGGATTCCTCAAAGTGAAAGCAAAAACAACACGAGCAGTGGTATACATGGAGCCGTCGATGATGCTGCCGATTGATGGAGTATCGAGCGCGGCCCTCCATCCGTTTATTCGCCGCGTAAAAACTCCCAAAGAAAAGCAGAGGAGGTCATTATGGGCCGCGTGAAAGGAACGTTCGTCCGTAGCTACTTAGCCCCTGGCTTTTGCAGGGTGTCAGTCGCGGCTTGGCAGCCGTGGGGGCGAAGATGCACCGGCGGGCGCTTCCGGCCAAAGTGCAAAGCCGTGTCGGCGGGAGTTTTTTACATCGGAGGAAAATAATACGGGGCGAGGTGGCAAACGAAAGGACTGGCATTTCCCATCCTCTTGCACAAAATGATCATTTTTGTAGTTCAGACGTGGGAGTTTTTAAACCCAATGCGTTCGATTAGAGGTTTTGGAAATCAAAATTGAGTAGATTTAAATTTGTTGAAGCAATTCGTTCGGATCTTTTAAATCGTGCGTGATTGAAAAAAAAAGGTGCTTCGCGATAAAAAGTAATTGAGTGATTGGCAAAAGCACATACACGCGCGTGCAGCATTAATCATTAACGATTCGCTCCTATGGGCTGCCTGAGATGGCTATTAAAGTGCGAAAAAAAAAAAAAAAAAAAAAAAAAAAAACAGAGACGGGGTAAAAAGTGGAGTGGAAGGAAAAACCAATCGAGATAAAATACCGTACAGGTCGGAGCTTCCGAATAAAATTCGGCGGATGGATTTGCTAATTACCTAATGCGACGATACCGGGGCTCGATACGTATCATAACGGTGTCATAGCGATGTCAGTAACCCGCGACGCGCCATACGCGCAATTACGCGGATTGCAATGTTTCTCCAGCCGTAAATGCACTAGTTCATTAGGTATTCGCGATATCCAGTCCATGCACCATAAGCAAAAGGGGAAAAAAATCATTGAAAGCATATACTCGAAAAGAGGAGGTATACCCTGGCTCGTGAAACAATATAACGATGATTATTGTATCTCTGTGCCAGACAGTCGTATACCCACTACAGGTGAGATCGATACAGTTTTATTTCGATATTCCACGACGGAATTTCCATCCGGTGATTTTCAAGCAGCCATTAGCGCGCGGATTAATGAAAAAGCACAAGCAGCTACCTAAAATTACAACGCGGAGTTCGAGCTCGTATTACACTGATACTCTTATATATATGTACATACATACATACGGCATAACATGACGGCCCTGAGGTGAGAGAGAGAGTTTACGCGAGCGTCGAGTTATACTGCGAGCACAAATAATAATCCGGAGGCTCATTGTGACGAGATGTCATTAGCGCGAGCAAACACCGGGTCCCTAAAAGCCCCCCCCCCCCCCCTGGAAATTAAAGCTGGCGCCAAACAACGAAAATCAGACGAGCCACTGCGTGGCTTCATATACAGATATATATATATTATATGTATGAAAATCAGTGGGTATACCTATCTGTATACACCTACAACGGAGCAAACAATATTTTTTGATTTTCTTATACGAATGCCGTGCGGTTGTAGAGCTCATCGGGTATGCGCGAACGGTACATAAACTTTGACGGGCGGTTGTTTGATCGCGATTCATATACCCGCGGATTTGTAGGCTCATAAACGCAGTGTCGCGGCGAATCAGTGATTGCGCCGCGGTGCCACGTGACGCCGCGTTTAGGCGCTGCGATCCCCCGCGCGACACGTATTTGACAATCAAACCGCCAAACTACGGCTCGCAACGGCAAATCCAGGTGATTGTGCTCTGATTGCGAGCACTTGCGCGTCTGTTGATTAATATTTTTGTCCATCCAATTGAGATACACCCACCACTTTGATCGTCAGTGGGAAAAAAATTATATACCGATTCTTTCGAGCACGGGAAGGTACCTGCTACAAAGAGCTGCAAATTCACGAAAAAAACAAGACGAGGAGGGCTGGAAAGTTCGTTGGGGGTGGAGGAGTGGAAGAAGGAAAACGGACGAGCGCCACGCATATTTCGCGAGGCCGGCTATTCGGCTCGGCCGAGTGGAAAACGACCGGCGTCATGAAAAATGACGCCATTAGCGAGTCGGGGGGCGCACTCGGTTGGATAAAAATTACGCGAAAACTCGTCAAAAGGTCTACCACGAGAGGGTGGGCGCGAAAAATCCCGTGGAATCCAAGTTTTCGCCCCTGGCGTGGCACACCGATTATACACGAATCGGCAGTCGGTGGACCGAGCATTAGATCGAGCGTATTTAAACTCGGACGGCTGAGTGATTTTCGATGTTATATATCATTTATGACCAGGGGGCTTTCGGTCCTATATATATACATACGGTACTTGTTTAATGCACGAATAATGACGGGCGTAGCAAATAATAATCGCAATATCCCGTCACTCGCGCTAAACTCCGGAATGATTTTAGTGCGCATTGGTCGACGCGTCGTACAAACACCGGCACAATATTTGATCGGTCCGTGATATTTGAAACATTGCTTCGAGACCAGCATTTTGAACAACAAACAAAAAATATCGTCATGAACATGTAAGTCACATGTACTTTTTTTGCACGTATTCTCGATCACTCGATAAGTCACTCGAATAATGACACTCGTACTCTTTACACTACCTAATGAAAAAAAAAATTATTCTTACGTGTCAAACGAAACATCGTAAGAGACTCGCCGACTGTGTTGGAAATCACTGGTAGGTTAATGGGAGCAGAAACAATTAGCGCCGGGTAGAATTCAAGAACTCACATAAGTGAAACGCGACAGTGCCATGGTGCAGGGGGGTCCGCAAGGGGGTGGGGTAAAAAAGCTCTCCGCGGTTGTATCGAAAGACAATAGCCTATAGGAGGGAGGGAGGGGAGCCGAGTTAGCGGTAACTCGGTCAGGCCTGCTGACCCGAGCTCTGCCCTAGCTCGCGATGAATGCACGCTCGTACCGGCATGCACTCAGTAGATTGCTCCTGTAAAGTTCGCAACGATACGCAACCCTCCTTTTTTTGCTCCTCCTCTCCGAGCTCAGGGCAGTTTGGCTCGTAAAAACGCGCTTGCACCCCCCTACGACATACCTGCCCGCGCTTGTGGATACCTCTGCACGTAGCTCGGCCTCTTTGTCTATTTAGAGCCCTTTCGGCCCTTGGTGCTTGTCGACGTCCCAATCGAGAGGGCGTTTTCGCACTACGCAAATATTTACCCTTCGCCAACGATTCCGACTAGTTTAAAAAACGCTGCTCTTTTTTCCTTCATTTTTTTACCGTCAAAGTAACAAGTCGCAACATACAGTGATAGAAAACGCATAAATTGTGCCTTTATACAAGTGAGAAAACGTGGGAGGAGTAGGCAAAAGATTTGAGTTACGAACGAGGAAACTGCTTTTTTTCATCTCATAGAAGAGTGGCGAGATTTTTTCCCTCTCGATCCTCCGTAACGAGAAAATAGATGGTAAATGAGTACAAAAGGTCTGGGTAAAGAGAAAAAAATCCTTTGGCTGAGAACTCGATAGAAAAGAAAATCAGCTCAGGAGAAAAAAAAAATAATAATAATAAGGCAGGAGCATCGAGGAAACGGAGGAGTGTGGATTAAAAAAAAAAAGAGAAAAAAAGTGTAAATTGCGTTATAAACGGCTTATTGAAAATCCATAAATAAGCAGCGCGAGCCAACAGACGGCGATGAAGAAGGGCTTAGACCCTTCTCCCCTTAATTTTTTTCCTTATCAGTTCTCGTGCTTTAAATCTTAATGCAGCGAAGGGGGGATAAAGTGTAGGCGCGATATATATATATATAGGTACACCTACATCGTAAACCAGCCAAAAGGATGATGGTATAAGGGAGAGACGGAGGTTGCCAGGAGCAACAGAGGAGAGCCCCCTGCCCCCTCTCGAGAAAGTATTGTCCGACTCTCGAGTCCTGCCGTTGTGTGCGCCGTTTACTTGGAGGACCTTCTTTTCAAACTCTGAGGTGATGCACTCGTCGTTGGCTGCCACCGTATACGCGTGAAAAGAAGAGCTAGGGGTTGGGGGGGATGGAAATGGCTTGGCACCGAAGCTGTGCACAACGGCGAGAGCTTCTTAAGGCTAGACGGCGCAACTGTAAGTACCTACCCGGATTTGGAGAAGAAAATGCGCTCACAACGCGAAACACGCTAAACACGCGTGAGACGGCATTTCGCATCGCAAATCTCACGGAGCACCGATGGCACGTACAATCGACGCTTTGGTTTTATTTTCACTCTTCCATCGAAATACTGGGATCAAATGGCCCGCAGCCGCGAAAATAGTTAATCCAAGAAAACATGTTTGGCTGTTTACTATTTTGTTAAAGAATTTTCGGTGAGGGGGAATCGAGGTTCAAATGCTCGAAATTTCCGGAATAAGGGAGCAACGTGGGGTAAAGATCGCAGAAGCGAAAGTAAAATCGCGAACTGGAAATAGCTGGAAAGGGTTCAAGGGGGAGTATAAGGTGGTAAAAGAGCAAAAAACGAGGGACAGACGAAGAAGGAGGAGAAGAAGAAGAAGGAAGAAAAAACGGTGCACTCGCCGGCGCGTGGTTCAAACCATTAGACAAATTTTATATATAGCGGAGCTTCAAAAGTGACGGAATCTCGTGTAGTAGTGGAGGAAAAGGGCCAGCGGAGAAAGAGCACTTTCAACTTTTTTTTTTTTTTCTCCCCCTTTCGCTCTGTCCGCGTATACGTCATTACACACACACGCGTAGCCGTCTCTTCTTAGCACGGCTCTCGGCTTTTTTTGCCCTCTACTTCCCCTCTCCCCCCCCCTTCTGTTGGCAATGCGAGACCTTGCTCGCGCTGCACTTGGTTGTGAATTTTTATTACGAGCGCTCCACGTGCTTTGGTCACTTGCAGAGAGGGCTCGTGAGATTTGACTGTTTAACTCGCCCGGTGGAGGGAAGGGAGGGAGGAAAAAAAGTGAGATAAGGAGGGACGGAAAACTGCGCTTAAATTTTTTACTCGCTAAGAAAAATCCAAGTTTCGTACAAGTTCTCGGTGCGCCACTGAATTTTTTATTTCCTGATTTTACCGAGCGAGGGCACTTTTATACATCTCCGAGTAACCACCTGAATTATTCATCATTATACATCGTCTTTATACTCGGAGCACTCCTGACGAGACGGTACAATTCAAAATAAGGAAAGCGTGAAACGACTGAATTGTTTGTGGGCAGAAATAATCACGGGAATCGTCATCAAGTGGTATACTGTATACTGTACTCACTGTTGTTCTGGTGTGGTGCGTATATGTTGAGGTAGAGGCAGTCCTCGCTCTGATCCTGCAAGAAGGGCAGCAGCCGCTTGAGGTACTCGTGCCGCGTGGCGTCCACCTCCTCTTCCGTGTTGGGCAGCACCTGCGGGCACACGGGGCTAAAGTTGACAAAGTGCCTCACCCCCATCCATGGCGTCTGCGTGGTCGGCGGCTCGAAGCGATGCGTACCCACCGGTGGCTCCGCGTACGGCACTCCTAGGACCAAAAACAAAAAAATTAAAAAGGACGCCCTTTAGACTTACTGCCCCCGCACCTCTCTCGCGCCGGCACGACTTTTTTTTCCTAGATTTTTCAAGAGCTGGGAGCTCGGAGAGTTGGCTCAGTGGTGCAAAAGGAGCTTTGAACTTTGCCGGAGTCTCTGCAAGGAAACGCTGCTGTGATGTTTGATCCTGGACATAATGTGCCAGCAGAAACAAATCAATTTGCATTAGCACAGCAACGGCGAGATCATCTTTGTTACTCTGTAAAGGAGCTTGTGGAAGTTTGTAAATTGACATTTTTGGTAGAGTGGCGTTGAGGGATTGGGATTGGCAATGCCAAGGATACTCCGCAAAGGGAGATGACCTCCACTTTTAAACGCATGTATATAACAACGGCCACAAGACTTTCCCCGGGGAGTCCGTTTTAGCGGCCTGATAAATATTCCTCCATTCCGAGGGCTCCTCTCCTCTCATCAGCCGATTAATCTTGACTCTGCTCTCCCCCTCCTGCTTCGTGACTCGAACCGATGCCCCGTTAACGATGGTCCCTTTTCGGCGCTACTTCGCGCCCGATTGACGATCGATGCTTCTTCGTCCCTTTCACCCTCCACCCCTGATTTCTCGGTAGTGAATTTATTTTTTTCTTCCTTTTTTGAGAAAAACCACCCTCGATAAATAAAGCCGACGCTACTCCTCCAATTTTCTACCGTCCCGGTTCTCGAGTGCATTTTGATGTCGCTCCTACATAACGTTGGGTTCGCTTACTATTTACCGCGCCGTTTCCTTCAATCACTCGTTTTTCTAGACTTCCACTTCTGGCGAACCCACGAGATGACACCCAAAACGCCTGAATCGCGAGGGGTTGTAAAAATAATCAACGTTTGTCAAAAGCAAAAAAAAGGTGCGGTCATCGGTTACTGGAAAATGTTTTTGTAAGGAGAAGAAATGAGCGAGGTCTGTTTGACACTTGGGTATGCGCTGTACGACAAGAGGAGCGTATTCCCTCGTTTTCATCACCCTTTCTTCATACTTTTATCCCCCAAGTGTGTCTATTTTACGGACTTTTTTTTTTTTTTTTTTTTTTTTTTCATCTCAGCTTTTTCATCATCATTACCGTTTGTTCTCACCTTCATTTTCAATTTTTAATATTTCTCTTTCCCAACACCTGCAGGCCGTTTTATTTGCACCGAGTGTTCCGTACTGCACACGCGCTATGTTATCACACGTGTAGGCTCGTGGGCTGTTGTGCACTCGGATAAAGTGGATATGAAATATCTTCGTCAGCATCGCTTTCCCCGACTATTTTAAATTGACGCTACAAATGACACCCAAACCACGCTGTGGCTTTATATTTCTAAAAATAAACACTACTTTTTCCCCTCTAACTTATTTCCCTGCGTTTGGTAAATTTATAAATCCGATCTGTGTTTTTCACATGAGCCCATTTTTATTCAGGGCAAAATGATTGGTAAAACAATAACTAAGGTTGACTGTTCATTCAAGAGTAGTAAAAAAAACTCCTAAATAGTCGGCTAGCCGAGATGGTATGGACATAGACATATATACACACCGAGGAAAACGTCGACGAGCTGGAGGTTGTCGGCCTTGGGTTGGACTATGGTGCCCCTGAGCCGTCCGTACTTGATTTGGATCTCGCGCGTCCTCGCGCCGTGGTGATTGCCCCCGGCAGCCGCGTCCTTATTTCGGTGCCCGTAAAAGCTGCGCTGCTCCGTCAGGATCTGGGTGCAAGCCAGCAACACCAGCCCCACTAGCTCCAGCCGTAACATCGTCGAGGGCCTTTATAGGGGAGGTCTACCTCCTGCACGACAACTTTTATTTCATCTCCTCTACTCGTTTGTATCCCGCTGCTCGCTACAAGTATTTTAGTTATCGATGGGTCGCTATATAATTTTTATCCTTCGATGGTGCAGTTTCATTGCTCCCCCTCGTACGTGAGAAAGGGGGCATAAAATATCAAATTACTTTTTCCTTCAAAAAGAAAAAAAAGTATCCGATTTTTTACTTCAGCCCATATTACAATTTAACTCGAAGGTATTGGCGTGACTCCAGATTTGTCTCATTTTATCTTTGGAAAACTGAGCGGATCGACGATACACGGGCCCTTTGAATATACTTTTAGAGTACCGTTTCACTTTACTCCGAAGATCCAGGTAAACCGGGCAAAACGTAATTTCAGCAAAGACAATGTGCCAGTGAATATTTCATAACAATCCGTTGTTTGAAAAAAAAAAAAAAAAAAAAAAAAGTATTTGACCGGCCCGATGGATGCCGTAAACACTCGGGCTCTGCAATAACATGAATCCGTCATCGTTGCTTACCACTTCAAAGCAGCCCAGTTGTCGGCCCCATTGTTTACATCAGGAAAAAGCCGCACCAGCCCACCCTCGGTGTAGTTGCTAGTCCAGAGGTGTATATAGTGAAAACAAACGAGCAAATGAAAATAGACGCGTCCAAAGCCAGCGTCACTCGAACGGATGCATCTTCTTTATAATGCAGGGCGTCGTCATGTTTTCAGGTCCGCGCGTATACACTTTGTGCATAAAACGTACGTCCACCATATAGCGTCAAAGAAGTTTGCCAAAACGACGTCGAACGACGACGACACTTTGGGCTCGAAAAAGCCAGCGGGAGAGAGAGAGAGAGAAAACGGGGACGCTCTCTATCTACCGTACACACATGTATACCGTTGACTCCTATTTTTAGGCTACGCGGAGCAAGAGGGACGAGCCGAGGGTTAACGTCCACGTATCATGTGTTTGTGTACATATATTTTACACACGTACACGCAGAGCAAGCGACGCGTGCCGCTAGAAGACGTTAATCGCTTGGTGGCTTTTGTACACGTATACCCGAGAATCCCATCGCATTATATGCGTCCATACCCGCTCAACCTTTTCTTCACTGTATTTTTGTGACACTAGCACTCTTTGGGACGACGGACCGGAAAATGTATCGTTGCCCAACACGTGCCACTTTTTTCATCACCCGCACCAATCATCGCCGTTGTACCCGCAACGTCAACCAACTGCAATCACTTTTGTTTTCCATCAAAAGCACACACTTTATGCACTTGACACGGAGTGCGCCGAAAATAGAAATCCCATGCGACGCGGTACAAAGGCACTTTTGCGGCGACGAATCGATCCTTTGGTTATCGATGAATCTTTGGGACGAGATCGGTTCGATGAATAAATTAAAAATCGGACGACGGGTGGAGAGGGGCGGGGGGGGGGGATCGAAAATAAAGATGAAAACAAGCGAGACGGGATAAACAAGGGATCGGGGCGAGAGAAAGAGTGTCGCGTCGTTGGGAGCCGTTCGGCGTAAACTGCGCTGCGCCGCCGGCCGAGGCGAGCGGCAGGCCGGCGTCGTGCGGAAATTCGAAATTTCTAAATTTAAAGGCCGGCCAGCCGAGCGATGGAGCGGCCTGCCGGGAGGAAGAGCCGAAGATGAGAACGAGAGGGAGATGTATTCCGGGACGGGAGAGGAGGAGGGCGGCTCGTTGGAGCCGGGGGACAAAGCGCGCCAGCTTTTTTTCCTCCGCCTCTCGTTGCAGCTCTCTTATTTTCCGTATATCCGTACTAAATCGACGCGGACGAAAAGTCACGGGATTATGTTGAGGAGCTTGCAGCGCGCGCTTGTGTCGTAACGAGGTGCCATGGGCAAATTTTGGGCGGAGACGTGCAGTTGAATGATGCGCTACTTTATTTTTGGAGGAATGCCCGAGGAGGGGAAATCCCAAAAGAGAGGACGGAGAACGGTATACTCGTGTTTGATGATTTGTTCAATGAGTGCAATCAGCTCGCGCGTGTGATTGCGAGCTCTCTTAATACGAATTCGATGTTTTTCCTCACTCGGAAGGCCATTGCTTTCATCCAATCGGCGAAGGCTTTTATCGATTTCATACAGTTGAATTAAATCACTGCTCGACAAGGTTGGATTTTCGCTCATTACGCGATAGAATATAGCCATTCCAACAGCCGGACTCTGTAAATTCTAGACTGTTCGTAGCACACGTTCGTAGCCTGTAGCTATTGAAACTTCTGTTTGCTAATAAAATCTAATTAATGGTAGTTTGCTTGTTCTATCGATCCAAACCATTGTTTTTCTTTGTCGATTGGCTAGATCGGTAGTATAGATGGTTAAATACTCGGTATCCCATAGATTCGATTGTTCTGTTAATCATCACAACTGCAATGCATATTATAAACAAAAAGCAATGTCAACTGCACTCTTTACATACGTGTAGTTGAAGAAGCTTGAATTGAGAGTGCGTGAGCTCAATAAAATGTAACAAATGTGTTTTTGATGGTCATTCCAGCGGGCACTAAAAACGGGATGAGTCCTTGAACAGTGGGTGTATCCACCCTATAGACGAGATTAGACGCCGTTGGGAAATCGATCGAACTACCTAACAACACTCGAGACCCTCCGAGCAGAGTAAACCAGGGGCTGAGAACAGTTTACTCGAGAGATTAGTTGACCCCCGGACGACTGTTTTGTTGGCTCCGAATTTCTGGTTCACCCTTTCAAGCTCCAATGGTTATTTTATTCGATCGCGCAGCTTAATCATCTTCGAAGAGAGTTCATCACGAAAACTCCCAAGGGTATAACTGCCGAGTTATTCGAGCAGCGCAAAATAAAGTACATCGCGAGTAACGAATCAATAGATCCGGCGGGAGCCCTTAGACCGAGCTATGCAATTATCGACGAGGCTCCTATCGAGAAATTCCGCAACAAAAATATTTGCGGTATCCAATGCCGAGTGCGGTATCTTCCAAGTTATGCCGTGCACTTTCCATCTCCGCCACCCATCCCCTCGCCTCCTGTCTGACCCGTCCCTTTGCACCCTCCGCTCTAAATCGCCCGATGGACGCGCTTCCGATGTTTGCCGGCGAAAATAATTGCCCGTGAGCTTAACGACACACAACACTAAATCAGTAGCACCAACACACGTTATACATACAATTTATATGTATAAATCCCTCCTGTCTCTCCATCATAGACTCAACCCCGGCAAAGTTTCGCAGATTATTGAAAGTTTGTCGCGGTAATAGCAGGCGACGGCTCAAGACGCGATTTTGGCTTGACGAGCTCTCGGGTCAACATGTATATAACCGAGGCATAGCTGGATGAGGTTTGGTGATTCGTCGGAGCGAATTTCAAAGTTTAGTTCATCCATCGTTAATTAATACATCCCGAGTATGTCGATACATACGACGAACATTTGCGAGATAAACATAGAGCAGAGTTTTCGTGTGATCGTGAATAGGGTACTTTGAGGACAAAGCCACTTTGTCATCGAAACGACTTTTCTTCGGTTGCTGCCTTCGCGGTGACATTTTTCAGATGGGCTCGAGATCGAGGGTTGAAATTGAGGGAGGAGTGTTCCGGAATAAGTTGCAGTCTCGTTGAGTCCACAATAAAATGCCGGGGTGTAACAAATCCGGTGCGAGGAGATACAACTTTTCAATCGAGTTATCCGAGAACGCGTTGAAATTAATTAACAATCATGAAAGCCAAGAGAAAGTTCAGCAATACGGGCAGGGGGCGAACTTTCCGTCTTGTTGGGAAAACTTTCGGAACTCGTAATTTATTCGAGGACAACAACAAAAAAGCCGACAATCACCAAACAAAGGGAGCGACGCCTTTTTTTGCATTTTACGAGATCGGCGTAGCGAAGGGCAGATGAATAATTAAGACGTTACGGAATGCAACTGACAATGGAACGACGGGTTTACAAATAATCAAAACGACTCACCGAGGGAAACAAATAAATTTATGGTTCGTTGAACCCTTGTTTTCTCAATTGACAATAACCGTGAAATAAAATTACAACAAATGCGCACATGTAGCGTGGAAAATCCAACGAGGTAATTGATTTAAACTCGGCCGATGTACGTGACAGTATTAAAAGTACATGTGAGGGAGGAACGGAGCCAAAACGAAAAAAAAATTATTTCAGAAAGTCACCAAGGCGCTGAAAAAAAAGGGACAAGTTGGAAAAGAGATTGGAGGTGGAGGAAAAGTGAGAGAAAATTATAATCAAAGGCGAAAGATTTAGAAGTTAATTAAACTTTGCCGGAAGCAGCTTGCGGCGGTGGTGGAGCCTCGTGTAACTCTTGCTCTTGGCGGACCAAGTTACTCATCAAGCCGGTATATCTTATACCCCGCAAAAATCATAGCGCGGCGGAGGGGAGGAGGAAATTGTCACAGTTACTCGTGTAGCAAATAAAATCAGGGCCACTTGAAATAAAGTCGACTCATTTAAATACAAATGGATTCGCAGCCTCGGGTCAGAAAAGGAGATGCGGGAGACAAGCTATTAATTAAAAAACCATCTTAATTAAAGGAGCTCCTCGACGCGCCAGCCACGTGAAATAGGCTGAACGCGTCAAAGACGCGAAAGTGGTCGACTCGTCTCTCTGATTCAATCGATGCCGTGACTCACTTTTTTTCTCGCTACCGTTTCATTGCGGAACAGAGGGAATATTTTCCTCGCTGTAATTGAGCCAGCGATCGTAGATTTGATAGTAAGACAGCCGATGGAAAAAAATGGAGAAAAATCTTGATCAAAGGACAAGAATTATGTGAAATTTCAAAGGAGACGGAGAGGCTATATTTTTCAGCACGAGCATTCATACCCATCGTACCGGTGCACGTTAATAGGGGGCTGCGGAAAAGTAATAGGGGTAATCTTTTCCTATCGGCGTGAATAGCGATGAAACGAGAAAACACGATATATTTATCTGCAGTAGCGATTTTTCACGCGCCACCGGCGAGCAGCAACTCGCACTTTACGGGTAAACATACATTACGACGCGAAGTCAATAGCAGCGCGAGACCTTTGCTTTGCTCCCTTGATCATTAAATAAACCCTTTCGCCTCCGGATGATAAAATCAATTGTTACTCGTTAATTCCCTCATGGCTCTTTTTCATTGCAAAATTCTTCGAGAAGAACAGGACGCAATGCTTCCAATTTTTCACGCCATGCATTTTATATGTATCATCATCCGCTGGGCTTTACCACTCAGCCGCGGGCCCGCATTCGTATTTGCCCCCGTGAAATATCGATCGTGCCATTTTATGGTGGCTCTTTGGAAAAATATCCATACGTCGGGCGAAGATACAGCGCTGTGTGTGGTACGATTTCGCTGGGGGAGGGACTCCACCCTGGAAGAGCCATACAAGTGTTGGAAGAGGAAACGAAACTTGCGGCTGGAAAAGTTGGGCCATTACATCGGCGTGATAGTTTATGTTGCCTATTTAGGGGCGAAGTTTAGGAGCGGTACGGACGAGTTGCATTGGGAGAGGGACGGAAGGTGGGGGCTCGTGATGTACGTATCGAGGCGCAAAAGTACAGCAACTTTCTCCAGCGACACTCAACGGCTTTCCGTACGTCGCGCAGGTACATTTTTTTCGCCCCTCCCTCCCCCCCTCAGTTGTTCTTGTTTCCTTCGCAAGGGGGTATACTGCGGCCTGGCTCGAGTTGTTTTACCAAGACACACCACACACGCGCATCGAGAAGTGTTTATGTAGTAGGGCTCGGCTTACTCTCGCGACCCAACTTTGAGCGCTTCTTTCCGGAGCAAAGCGTTCATCGACTCTCTTTTTTTCTCAAGTTGACCACTAACCGTTGTACATCACGACGATTACCCTCATCTTTTTTTTTTTTTTTTTTTTTTTGTCCACCGTTTGTCCTTTCCACGTGAAAGGTAACATTTGGCAGAGAGGGTGTTTTTCTCTCAGTTTTATGGCTACATGCATTGGCATTTTAAATAATGATTCCCGAGAGCCAATCGTTCACCCAATGCCCTGCATTTATCAAAGATTGAATTTGAGAAAGCTCTTGACCAAACTTGCAAAAAGTCCAGACTTTTTGGAGTACGTACAAATCCACATCATCGGATGTCGTAAAAAGTAACAGCGGGAATCGCTCGACCTACAGAAGGGGGGGTGGCTTTTTTGCCAGTGATTCCCGAAAGGCTGCACCGACAAAAGATTATCCGCGCTCTCGAATCCCTTGTAAATCCCCCGACAGCAACCGTGGCAGCGACTGCTAGAACCTCGCCCCGGAAGAAACAAACACCGACGCTGGAACAAACGCAAAATAAATACCAAGAGGTGGGGAGTCGAGTCGGTGCAAAAACGCCAGCCAGGGAGGAAGAAAAAACAGGGGGGGGGAGTAGTCCTCGGGCCGCCGATTTATTATCTCGATAGGAGCAGCTGCCCGAGGTTTTACGAGTCTCCGCGAGCCAGCTTGCACGGGACGCGTAAACCCTACCAGATTCCCTGGTCCCTCCCATCCTCGGTCTCTCGCGCACCTGCCGGGACATCGTCGCCTAGGCTGCATTTTTCCCACACCGGCACAATCGAGGGCCTCCGACCTGCCCTGCAGGAATTTTGAGCCAAACAGCTCGTAAATTCATGAATGGATTAGCCGGTATAACAGCTATAACCGATCACGTAATCAAACTTTACTCCAACTCGCTCGAATTTCATGGAGTAGAAAAAAAACCATTCCTCTCCACACGCAGCCCTAGTGGGAGAGTTTCGCGGTCCAAAGTCGAGCTCTGCAGGGGCCATACGTTGCAAAGAGCAGAAGAGAATAGGGAGGGAGGGCGTGTGTATACACAGTCGCCCTTAACGATCGGCCTCGTAAATTCGGCAAAGTGCCGTGTGTACATTGCTCGTGACGGTGGCCGGCGGGATGGACAATAATGGGGCAACAGTGGCATCGGGGCATTCCTTTGGTCCGACAGAGAGGCCGAGGCGGCCAAACTTGTAAGTGAAAATCACGGGAAGCTCCGAGCCAGGGGATGATCGATTGTCATCGTTGCCGACACCCATCCCAGTGGTAATCGGCTTTAACTCGACGCCGGGGCCGAAACAGTTTGTAAGACAGACGAGGTCAGCCACGCTACGGGGATTCAGATGTAGGATTTACGCGATCTGTATTGACGAGCAAAGCGCCTTGTGCTCCTCGATGGGGAGAAAAAAATAATCCAGGTACATTGTCACTTATCCATCTTCGGATAGCCGTCTCTCGGTGCGAGATTATCACTAAAGAGTCTGGATTCCCAAGTGGTGTGTATCGATTATAGTCAGCCGAGAGACACGAAGCGTTTGAGCAAGGATATTCCGGTACCCTCGGGTATACTGTCATATCGACCAAGGGGGAACGATAACTGATGCAATATTTCTTACGATTTTCGTCTCCATTGATGACAAAAGTATTCAACGTGACATTTTATACCAATTTAGCTGCATGAGCGCGTGCGTGATGTCTCACCAATGGCTTACCTTTACCATTATAATTGTACGATTTCCCGGATTCAAGCAAAAAAAGTACGTACACGCGTGAAATACGTTTGGAGTGCAATTAATTTTCCACCGAAGAGTTTGACTCGATGCACGGGATAAGCTAAGGTGTACATATATAGATTTGTGTACGGTTGATCAGGTGCACAGCTATAACTCCGGTATCGTCGTTTTGAACTTCCTAATGGTCAAAGTTGCAAGTACCGCACGTGTATCTGTACATTAAACTTGTACCTTCAACCTGCGTCGCAACGATTTCTGAACTTGTGCTTATTACTTTTGAAACTCGGAAAAGTTTAGAAAATTCGGAAAGGAAAAAAAGAAAAAAGAAGAGTTTCGCGTATTCCCGTGTAATAACCCCCGCACCGTGGAAAACGCGACGTACCGTCCAGTCCTCGTCCACCACCGGACGGTCACGGGGACGCGGTCAAGTCTCACAGAGTATATGATCGGGGGGTGTATACGTGCGGGGAGTAAAAGAGGGCCGTAAGTTGCGCGCAGGCGCCCGGGCTGCCCCGCACCCCAAGCGCCGAGGGAGAGCACAGTTGCAGCCAGTCTGTCGGGCCGGAATCTCCCGTGCACTACATAAACCAGAGCAGTGTGTACCCCCTCCTCCTGTTCCTCCTCCTTCTCTAAGAGTGGGTTCACCGAACTCCTCGGGAAAAACAGTTGGTGTGTTTGGGGTAGGTGCCACTGCCACGAGGTACCCCACACGTATGTGGCCCTGCCCGTGGAAGCCTCCTTTCCGGACACACCACGAGAGGTTATGCTGGCGCTCGGGTGACTGACACTGGCTGGCTCCTGCTGGACCACACCGTCCCGTGTGTGTATACCTTGGTGGGTACGTCGGGTAGCGTGTAGTGCGGTAGGACGGGATACACGCGTCACGTGCTTCGAGTAAGTGAGTGAGTGAGTGCCGCGAGTGCCAAGCAGTTTTTGCTGATATATACGCGTACTCGTTCTCGTAAACAGCTGGAATTTGTCATCGTCGGGTGACGATGATGTAAAAAGTGCCGTTATTCGGGATAAAAGCAAATCACGTGATTTAGTGTCATAGTCGGGGCTCCGAATGAATTCGAGGACACGCGAATGGGGGCAACGGTGAGACAAGTTCACGGGTAAGGAGGGAGGGGGTAATTTGGTCAGAATGAGCCGGGTGGCTGGGTTCCGTAGCAGCATCAGCTGGCGGCCCGTTTTGCCAGTGGGTCGAGATCGCGAGCGGCGTAGCAAAGGACGGGCCGAGACATCGGTAGCCCAGGATCTCGGGGTCATGTGGCAGCGGCGTTGAGCTACTGGACGATGAACCGGCTGGTGTTGCTGGCGCTCCTGCTGCGGCTGGCCGGGGCGGAGCTGAGCTCGCGGATCGTGCGAACCAAGTACGGCGAGCTCTCGGGGGTGATTGTGTCGCTGGGCCGGAGCCTCGAGAGCGTCGAGGTGTTTCGCGGGGTACCTTACGCCTCGCCGCCCGTGGGCAGTTTGCGCTTCATGCCACCCGTGAGCTCGGCCAGGTGGCACGGGGTACGGGTGGCCGACAAGTTCGGACCCGTCTGCCCCCAGAAGCTGCCCACCCTCACCGACAGGATGCCCAAGGGACGCCTCGACTACCTGCGCAGGCTGCTACCTTATCTCAAGAACCAGAGCGAGGACTGCCTCTACCTCAACGTCTACGCCCCCGTCCAAGGTCTGCCGACAACCATACTTTACATTATCCTCAAACAGTGCCCCACACAATCATTAATAAGCATGAACGTAGAATTTTGTACAGCCCGTATCGTGAATTTTAATAATTCCATGCATGCTAATGCTGCAGTCCAATTATGGGTGTACGTACGGCAGCGGGCTCGAGCACGTACGCTCGTAAACAGTATCAACAGAGTATTAATCCACAGAGTCCCGCCTATGTACACGAGTAATAATGCCGGGGCTTTTTTTTTTTGTAGCGTTATTATTATAATAAATGCGGATGGGAAAAGCCAACCATGATATAATTCACAGCTCCGAATTTGATAATATTAATTTGCTCGTCGGCAATTTGGGTGATTGTTTGCGTAATTAATTGGAAGAGAGTATTTGCGATCGATGGGGTTGAAACAGAAAGAGAAAGATAATTTTACGCTGGAAAGTAAGGATTTTTTTTTTTTAGGAAAGGATCCCTTTACATCTCCGATGTTATTAGGGAATCTCGGCTTTGGCAGATTCATGGGTCAATAATGTGCTTCCATTATCATAAGAGTGTACCTTCGCAGTGGGTTTGCTCCGGTCTGTGTTCCTTACCTCTTTGCTCGCGTCGCCGCCAACCCCTTGCTAGCTACGGCTAAGGAAAACAGAAATTTCCCCTCCGCGATCTCCGATTTTCCCCGGTGGATCAACAACGCGCCCAAGTTCCACGTCGAATCATCAAACTCCTCTCGGCCGAGCCATTTTTCCGCCCGGCAATTACACGAGGAAGTTATTCTTCGGATCCCCCATCCGTTGAAGTTCCCCACGACTCCTCTAATCCACTGCCGGAGCGAACGCAAATTAGCTCGCCGCTGGATGTATACTTCAAGATTACCCCAATCGGTTTGTTGGACAAATGTATGCCCATTACACCCCACCTCCCTGAAACGTACAATTTATCGGCGCCACGTAAATTGGAGGACCATTGTGCTTGATAAGCCCCAATCGACGAGCCAATCAGTACAAAACATTATGTTCGCGGCTTTTGCCCAATTACGCGTGGCACACTGATTATCGCGGTGTCAGAGGCACGCGTAACGGAGGGAGAGGGCGATAGTTTCGGTGTTCGCTCGTCCAGGACGAATCGTCAAAGGGCACGACTCGAGGGCCGAGGGGGTGGGGGTGTCAACGTCAAAAGCAGGTGGAACAGTAGAGAGCCGGTCTTTGACTGTACTCCGAAACGTGGCAGGTGTCAAACGCGGCCGTTAGTTTTTCTACACCTGCGCCTACACGGGGAGGTGACGTTTGTCAATGGGGACCCAAATGCGTGGCTGATCTCGCGATAGTGTTTTTCCGACTCTGTGAGGTCTTTGAACGCGTAGGCTTATCGGGTGCTTTTCCGCCTACCTTTGGGTGCCAGCAATGAATTTCGATGCGATGCTTGACAGGGCCTGTTTGTATTTTTCGCTGCACTTGCTCCAACTCATTCGTGGAAAATGAAATGAAAAACCCACAGGAATGTCCCAGTCGGCAAAATAATTTTTTCGCGCGTTTGGCTTTTGCAGTTGGCTTGTCGATAAAATCGATTTAGAGTGGATCAACCAAAGTGATTTTTAAAGCGCGCACGCAATGCAGCGAGCGCCGGAGGAAGGAAAACTTTGCTCGGCAGCTCGAATAAATTTCCCGATCTCATCGAGGCTGCACCCACGAGTGTACACTTGTGCATAATACACGCGCCCTCGCGCATATTTTTTTTCTTCTTCTTTTTACTCCACAGTTTCCAGCTAAACCCGATTTCCAATCGCTCTTTTGCCCTCCGCTATACTGACGCTGCTCTTACCAACGAACTGTACGTGACTCGGCGTCCTCTCTCGCTCATCTTGACTTTTCCCGCCTCTGTTCGACCTCGCAGTTTCTCAATATCGCTTGCCTTTGTCTCGACACCGACTACCCCTCCTTGGGCACACGTCTGTCCGTGAATATGCAGATTCGCCAATTTTGTTTGTCGCTGTCGCTGAGGGGGGTAAGAGACTGCATATCAATAGTCCAAGGCTATACTTTTGCTACGTCCAGCTTTCGTTTTCCGGTGCCTAAAAAATCGATTCAGCCACTTTTCGAGTCCTTACAACTTGAATTCTCCAAGTTTTTGTACGGAGGATCGAATCGAGAGTAGCAAAAGCACATTTGCTCTTGTAAAGTCTTGGTTTTGTGTCTTTTCAATAAATACTTTTTCAATGAAAGGCACTTCCCTCGCTCCATCTCAATGACAACGCGCACAACAGCCAAACTCTCCTCATCCGAGTCCTCTATCGTCTCCTTGGTTCCTTTCGCCAAAGCTCTCTGCTGCCGTTTTTGTTGCTGTTTATTCTACTTTTCCTACATCGCCCCTCCAACTCTCGGGAAAACTAAATTTCCGCGAGAAATTGAAAAGTCATGCCAAAGCGTGACTCCAGTCGTCTTTTCTGCTCGAAGCAATTTTTTCGCCTATGTGCGATCGGGCTCTCGCAAACGCGAGCCTCTTGATACTCTGTCTCTTGTACACTTGCTCGAATGCACTACGTATTTTTCACTGCCGAATTCGTGTCGAGTGACACTTTCAGTCTCACGTTGCACGTACGATTAATTTTTCGCTTCATTTCATTTTTTCTTTTTTTTTTTTTCATACACGTTATTTCACTTTTTGCGCAATTTTCTGGATTTCGGAGCGTCCCTAAAACATTTTTTCAAAAGGTCTTGGTTTGACCTATTTTTTCCGCGTTTGAAAGTAATGATTCCGGGAATAGGGTACATCTGAATGACGAACGACTCCGCGCTCATTAATTAAGAGGCCATTGTTGGCTCGGGGGAAAAATTTTTCCCGCAAAAGCCCTCTTTGTGGCGAGAGTGACAAAATAATTAAAATAATTTTAACGAGGAGCCTTTGAGGAGCACTTCGAAATCGAACAAAAAACGTATACACTGCAGGTATAAATATAATCTTGTAATCGAACAATTTAATTTAAATTAATGCGTTGGGTGAAGGACACCCAACATATCACACAGCCATATGGAAACATCGAACAGAAGAACGAATTCAAAGCAATCCAATGTATCTGCATTGAAAATAACTCCGGGAATGCTCCATTCGGGAGAAAATATGATTTCCCAACAGAAGCCCCCGCGCAAGGCCACGCACGTACGATCCGGTCATGTGTACGCGCATTTGATACATACGCGCGTATAGGTATACAATGCATCCGCATACTGTGTAAATGAACGTGCGCGTGCTCGTACCTACGCAGAAAGAGAAATTCAAACTCGAGCAAGAATCACCCATACAATAGACGACGCGTATACGCGCTTGTGTATGGCACAAAGCTTGCAATGGACTATTTATAATGTATAACTGTGTGGCAACTCCAAGGGCATTCCTCCCTGGTATAATTGCACCATACATAGAGACTCGACGATGATACATCGTAATAATCCCGGCGAAGGTACACGTGAACTATTAGTGCCATTATCACCATTGGCGCAGTTTTTTGTCGACCCAAGTACGTTGGAAGCATCCTCGGACATCCACAGCACACGGACGGATGTGTATATACATGCCCCCGACGAGAGTGTGACCGTGCACCGTGTACACACTCGGGAGGAAAAAGAGTCGAGGGTTGCGAGATTTATGGCTCGGCGAGCTCCTTTGGCCCCCGTAAAATAACACTGTCCATTCAAACGATCGAATTAATGGCCGTTTTTGCGGATTCTTTGTTTTCAACGAAGGACCTGGTGTATGCGGGACGGACAATGCCCCCACCCGACGGCTTTTCCTGAATTATTATTACCGTTCGCCGTGCGAGAGGCGCGAAAATCCCAGCGCCCGTTGGATCGACGGAATTTCGGGAATCCAGCAAAGATTTTTTTTCCTGCGCGACTCGGGGAGAAATATTATCGGGGCTCTGTTCTCCGAGCGCTTTTTTCCAGCTCCCCTTTCGGTCGGTGGTGTGGGCCGCTTGATTTCCGTATGTACCTGTAAGTTACGGGTGCACGCCATTTCTATCGGGCCTCCCAGTTGCTGAGGAAAAAAATCAGTCAAACAAATTAATGCCGATTTTTTCATGATGCTCACTTCGATGAAACGATTTTGTCTAATTATGGTAATTGATGTACTGCCTCGGTTCGCCTGGTTGTGATTGGAAAAGGAGTATTTTGCAAGAGCTGAAATACATCGGGGAAGGGAGCAACGAGTTGTAATTTTCCGCTAACCAGGAAAAAACAGGGGGCAAAAGGGCAAATCGAAGTTTTCCGTTTGAAGAGCGCGAATCGACAAGTTTATGGAGAAATCTCTGGAAATAATTATAAAAAGTTCGCCCCTAGATGTTCTCGCGCTCGTTCATGGCTGGTCCAGAAGAAGTTGGAAGAATAGAAAAGGGAAAAAGTTGAAAGAAAAGCCCCGTAACGATTGGCCTCCACTTCCCGATCAACCTCCTTTGCACTTCAAACATCTGTTAAAAATATTACTGCGTTAACAAACGCTCCTGTAGAAAAGGGGGACCTTTTGACATGCAAAATCCAAAATGCACTCCAACCGGAAAAACCCCTGCCCCAGCCTTTGCGCTCGCCCACTCGGAAAGAGAGGGAAAGAAAAAACACGAAACAGGAAAAATCCCGGAGAGTCGGAGCTGCGACGGGGGGGGGGGAGCGTTCACAATGAAATATTCATAGAGGCGCGGTTTCACCGAAAAACCCAATCGAACCTTCCGCGAGATTAATTCTATCTGCTCTCCGCTGTTCCTCCGTCGAACGCACGAAAAAGTAATCTTACCGCCTTTTCAGATTTTATCAGCGAATGGATAAAAAAGATCGAGCCTCGTGGCAACTTACGCATCATTTACACTGAACGCGTGCACAGATCCACGGGTTTTCCATCAAAGTTGCTGCGGCAAGCCGCATCGAGTTGGAGGGGGGGGAGGGGTTTGGCTTCTCCGATGATAATTCAGATTGGCTGCGACAATCCTGGCCAAGCTGCTCTCGGAAATTCATGGG